TAATAATAAATCATTTCACCTAAAAAGATGGAATGCATATATCATTGGACATTAAGATTCCATAAACAGCATGCTTGCTACAAAGCGAGCAGTAACTACTCTATGGATTCTTCATAACCCTTTTAAATATGAAATAATTAAAAATCAAATAAAAATTTTAAGGCATAAATAACTTGAAGTTAAACTACCCCCATATTAAAAGTAAACATCTCTATGCAATAAAAAAATAAGATATTACTTGTAGTTTGACATACCATTGAACCAACTCACATTTAGGTGCATATCCCTAAGTATGCTAGGATTTATGAGTTTTCTGTTGTGTACATATGGTTGATGTTTTGATGTGATACTTTGGATTGTCTATATATTATAAGCACTTACCATTAAGTGGATATGATAGAGATGTATTGTCATGCCTGTAAACTAATTTGAAAGAATTATTCTTTTATCTTTTAATTTATATAACTAAAGCTATCTGGCTTCTTTTATCTGTATATAAATACTAGTGGAAATAAAACTATTAATCAATACATGAATATATACATTTGTATTATTTTCCTAAAAATTATGTACACTACTCATGATCTATACAATAATAATATATCTATCCTGCTATAAGTATAAAAAATAGCTAAAATAATAATAACATGAATATGAAGGATCCTAATTAAAATATGGGTTATTACTTGTATATATTTTTTGTTCAAATGGCCTTATCAAAGAGGGGATAAAAATAAGTCATAATTATAAAATTATTGCTTATATGTGTTGCTTAAAAACTCCCCAAGGAGGCATGGTTAATAGAATAAAAATAAGGCTTAGCACTTCAAGTGTCAAACAACTCAAGGATTTTGTTTTTCCATATAAACTGCTTCCTAATCCCTTCTTATTTTGTATGTTTGAGTCTTTTTTATTTTTTTAAAAATATATTTAATTGACTTATGAAGTATTATTTGGATATGTGGGATATAGTTATATGAGAGATGAATCAGAAGGATGAACCTACCTTAATCCATCTAGGAGCCAAAGCTTGAAGATGTTATAGGTCGAGTCTGTAATTTTTCTCGATTTTTTTAAGGTATGCAACTTAGTTGCCACTTTTATAGTTTTCTCATAATTATAATAATTTGGATATTACTTTACTTTCCTACATTGGTTGATTTATATATACACCAATATATTTTAATTGTTTACGAGTTTGCATTAAAAATACATATTTTTTTCCTAGGTTTGTTTACTTATTTTTACTTGGGGATGGCCTGGACATGTGTTATATGATAGACTCTTACAATAAAATTAAGATTTCTATCTATTAACATATAAATAATCTAAAATCAATCATAGGATAACCAATTTTTAAATAAAAGAAAATTATACGGCTCACCGTAATGAGCCAAGTTTTTAAAAATAAAATGAAATGCATGACTAATGTGTCTCATATAGAAAGCCCTCATATAAGGATTAAGGATTATATAAAAAAAAGATATCTTTAGTGAGTCAGCATATGTATACCTACATAATCAAACCTCTTGGCATAAAATTATAGTTGTAAGTCTTATCTTCTAAATCAGAACAACATCTCTAACATTTATATGCATTGAAACCAAACCTCATAGTTTTAAAAACATTTAGGTGGGCTTAGCTGACAGCCATTTTCAAGTAAGGTTGTAAATTCAGAGATCGGACTGACTTATGCCTCATGTGAGATATACATTTGTAAGTCTCTTGCACTCTATTAGACTTAGGTTTGATGCTCTACCCCTTAGTAGTCCTTATTTAATTTTAGGATATGAGGTTGTTGTCAACTCTAGTCACCTCATAAGCCCTCACATTCTAGGTATTTCTTTAGTATTTATTATTAGAATTTAAGCCCAATATTTTAAATCAAATTGATCAACTTAAATAAAAATCTAATTTTAAAATGTAAAGCCAAATATATAATAGTTTAAGCACTTCTGAGTTTCTCAGAATCAAGTGCTCCTATATTTTCCTCTTTCTCGCTCTCATTCTTAAAATTTGATTTAAAGTTTATCACATCACCCTTAAATTTATTATAAAAATATATACATAAAAAAAAAAAAACATCACCCTTAAATTTTCCAAAGACTAAATCTTTGAACAAAAAATTTTCAAGCTTAAAAATCAAAATATTAGCCAATATTTTAATGACTCTAAATAAACAACTAGTTTAATCAAAATTATTTTCAAGTAATAAATACTTAGAGATATAATTAACCATAGGAGCTAGCCCTATGTGAAACATGTACTTAAGAATAAAATAAACCCTATTTGTAAGAATCGGTCTAGCGGTTGGTTCAATTAAACCGGCTTTATTTATCAGATGGGCAAAGCGAGACAAATAAGCATGATCCAACGAGCGAAGGGAATGTGAGTACTCTTATTTTTTAGTTACAATAATAATATTTGTTTCACCTACATATGATACATCAAATATTGTTATTATTTAATTGTTTATTATTAATGTTATATGAATTAATGCTATATGAATTTTCTTTATCAAAGATAATTGATCATGGTAAACTAGAAGACTTGAATTTAATATAATAGAGATATAATTCATCCTATGTCCTAATAGTTATGATATAGATCAATATGAAATAATTTGAGAAGATAAATGATATGATGAAAATAGAATACTTGCATATGCATGTTGACTGATGAATCATACCTCCTTATGGTACTGGTTATGAACACAATGTACTTGTGCACATTGATAGAAAATGTTATGAAAAAGAAAAAGAAAATAGAAAATAAGTACTTTCATTGATACTATTTTAAATAATGGCTCCTGTGATGGTTGCATTATTTATGAGAAATGATAATGATATGTCTAAAGATATGTTTAATGATATATGCATATTATTGAAAATCTTGAAATGAAATTATTTTATGTTTGAAAAATGATCATGCATATTATTCCAACTTGGAGTTACTAGAGTTTAATTAGAAGCATGAATTACTAGCCGAGTTCTTTATGACTCACTATTCCAATTGAAAAATGATTACATGTATAATTCAAGTAACTTAAATGAGTAAAATATGTGAAAATTTATATCATAGATGTGGCACACCGAAAGAAAAGAATTTAAATGATTTTATTTCAATTTATTTCAAATTTGAGGTTTTAGTGACTTTTTCTGCTTATTGAAAATAATTAGTTAGTAATTGAAAATTTAGTCAACCGTCCGACCATCTATTCCCGCCTCGCGAATTTGAGTTTCCGGACCAGGCCATGATACTATTCAACTAAATATTGAATAGGAAAAAATCTCTATTAAAATATAAATTATGAATTTTGTTATTAAGTCTATAACGAAATAATTTTTTTGCCCTTCGGAATAATATATAATTTTATATGCCGCACTCAATTATAAAATATCTCAATCAATTGATGATGACAAAATTTCTCCAACAATTATCACCTTAAATTCTATTTTGCACACGCACAAAAAACACACATATATAAATCGAGCGGATTCGAGCTCCGTCTACTTCCATCCCCCTGCAAGCCACAAAATCTGCCTGTTGGCTGTAGTGACTTCCAATCTAACAACAACTTCACCATTATGGTATTAGTTAGGAATGCAATGTACCCGTACACGTTAATGAAAAATGTTATGGAAAAGGAAAAGAAAATAGAAAATGAGTACTTTCATTGATACTATTTAAACAATGTCTCCTGCGACGGTTGTATTATTTATGAGAAAGAAAAATTATATGATTAAATATATGTATAATGATATATGCATATTATTGAAAGTCTCGAAAAGAAATTATTTTATGTTTGAAAAATGATCATGTATATTGTACATGCATATTGCTCCAACTTTGAGTTATTAGAGTTTAATTAGAACCATGAATTACTCGTTGATTTCTTTATGACTTACTATTCCAATTGAAAAATGATTACATTTATAATTCAATTAACTTAAATGAGTAAAATATGTGAAAATATGTATCATACGTGTGGCGCACCGAATTTAAATGATTTTATTTCAATTTATTTCAAATTTGAGGTTTTAGTAGCTCTTTCTACTTATTGAAAATAATTAGTTAGTAATTGAAAATTTAGTCAACCGTCCAACCATCTATTCCCACCTCGCTAATTTGAGTCTCCAGACCAGGTCGTGATACTATTCAACTAAATATTAAATAGGAAAAAATCTCTATTAAAATATAAATTATGAATTTTGTTATTGAGTCTATAACGAAATAAATTTTTTTTGTCCTTCAGAATAATATATAATTTTATATGCCGCACTCGATTATAAAATATCCCAATCGATTGATGATGACAAAATTTCTCCAACAATTATCAACTTAAATTCTATTTTGCACGCACACAAACACACACATAAAAATCCAGCCAATTCGAGCTCCATCTGCTTCCATCTCCATTGCAAGCCACAAAATCTGCCTGGTGGCTGTAGTGACTTCCAATCCATCAACAACTTCACCGTCGAAGGAGACGAAGAAGCTTACTACAAGTGAAGCTAAACCCTAAACGAAGAATTTGCGAGGAGGAGAAGCAAATCGTAGGCAAGCTACAGCATTAGGAAGAGCATAAACAGGCTAAAGAGAAACTATAAAAATAGATAGATAATGAGAGAGTACAAAACGATCACATCTGTAGCAAAATTATTTTTTATCGGTTTATCCTATCTAATTTTCTTATTTTGTTTATTTTTTTTACCAAAGTATTAATAGATAATTTATTAACAATTAATTATATCAAAGAGAACCAACTAATTAGATAATTAAAAAAAAAAAATCAGTTTCTCTTATAATATGTAGTGGTGATTGACATTCACATATTATTCGATTAGAAATTAGAAGTTAAATATTTTTTTTGAGTTTTATTAGCTTAATAATTAAATAATTAATTATTATATCTACTATTATTGCTACCAAAACAGAATATCGTAGGACACATAGGCTAATTTTAATCAAAAGGGATCTTTTGAGAAATCACAAGTATCTATAAGAAAACTCTAACCAGAATATTAAATTCTAATAAGAGATCCAAATCAAGAGTTAGAACTCAATAAATACAGTAATAGCTTAAGATATCATCAAACATCTTCACATTAAATTGTAACATAACCTCAGATTTAGGGTTAAAAGCATCCAAATACCTTATTGAGAGCCATTACATTGGCTCTGGGAACTGGGAAAGCAATCCTATATGATGGTATTATACCTGACTCCTCGCTAAAAATAATGGCGTCCAGGTCATTTTAGAGTCTTGAGAGCCTCAATTGCTGCTTGAGCAAAGGCCGAATATACTCATGGTAGCCATCAGGCACAACAGAGTCGTTGAGAGGTTCCTTCCATGCCTCCTCATATAGCTTTGGGTAAACGTTGCCATCGTAACGTCCAAGAGCAGAGCTCAAGTAATGGTCAGTGTAGTTAAATGCATCCACAAGAGATACAGCATTTGGCCGAACCTGTAAGGTATCAGGAAAGATGGAGATTAAGGTCTTTATCTAAGGAATTGGGATAGAGAAATTTTGGTTTATAGGACGGGTCCACTGAATTTAGTTTAAGATGAACATGTTAGACCGGTCCAGACGGAACCGGCTTACGGGCGAACAACGGAGTTTTTTCCTTCATGTTGCAGATGCCGCACGAGCCGCAAGAGCTGACGGAGCTTTTTAGGAAGGATTTTTGAGGGATTTGGGAGGGAAATTTGAGTGTAGGGACTGTTTAGGGATTTTCTTTTGATTTGTATGCATTAAATACTTTGTTTTCCCAGGGTTAGGGCATATTGAATTTGGCTGAAATTTGAGATCTCTTAGATTTTAGGTTTCCTTTGGGCTCTAGCGGCGTATAGAGATTTGGGAGAGAAAGATCCTCCTCTCGAAGAGAGGATCAATTGTATCTTGGTATTTTCCGTTTCATTTCATCAAATATTACAAATTATCTACTGTTTTCCTATTTTTGAATGGGGTTTTGTGGTCGCTGTTTTTCGAAGATTGATAAGAAATACTTGAGATCTTCTAGTGTTTCCTATCAGAACACAATAAATGACTATTCAACGAGAATTTATATTTTACTCATTTCAAATCCAACACAGCCGGCCAAAATTTTGATAGACACAATTTGTTTCTATTGGTAAAGAATGGTAACCTGGGTGTATAAAGCTCGAAGTTGCTCATTTGCAAGGGCACCTTGCGTAGGATTGATGCAGTTGGTTGTGAGGAAATCACCAAGATGCTTGTGAAGAAGAGAGAGCGCATATATGTTGCAGAGGATCTGGAGCTGCTCCTTAATTCCTTGTCCTTCCATGTCTTGCTGCACCTTATCAATGAACCTAGAAATTGGGGGAAAAATTTTTGCGATAAATATCAACAATAAGGTTGAAAAGCTGAATGTAAACATGTTAGCATTAACTCACTTAGATACAATGATCAATTCGCAGTGAGCTATAGCAGCCTCCACTAAATCAGCAGATAGCTCAAGGAAGCCTAAGGAAAATAGGTTGCAACAGCTCTAATTCATTTGATAAAAGGAAATAGCATAAAATTCTCCAGGTTTAGGGGAAAAATATACTCCTTTAATGTAAATATATCAACAAGAAAGACTATTAAAAAAAAGGGTGAATAACCTTCTTCTGGGCTGGATGCTTTGCTTATATTTTGAGCACAAATAACTGCTAGTCTAACTGCCCTAGCCTCGAATGCTTCAAGGATGACAGAAGGGTTCAACCAGTCTTCAGCTGAACAGAATGAAAGATGATCATTTTAGATAACAAGAGTCATAATAAATTGCATAAAAAGTAAATCAAAGATCTACAAAAGATTTATTTCACTAAGATCTGGGTGATAATAAATGGCACAACCTTTTTGAACATTGCATTTGCACTGCAACAAGTATTCTGCTTTTCCAATGTAAGCTGCAGCACCAGTGGGCTTCGTTCCAGATCCCAACTGAGAAACGGTCTTCATGAGGAACCTTGCGACCTGGAGATTTAAAACATCAGGTCCCTTGGTTCATTAGTCCAATGTACCCAAAAACTAAAAAGTTGAAAGCACAATCAGGCATCCAAACTAGTGTAGATTATTCTACGTTCTCCACAATTCTTGTTATTTCATAAAAACTAGAGTACTCTAATTTAACCTAGAAGAAAGACCAAAATGCAATAAAGCTCAAAAGGTTTCATCTTCTATGTCAAAGTACTAGAAATCAAAACTTCAAGAAAGCAGCAACAACAGCAGCAGCAACAGCAACAGCAACAACAAGCCTTTAACCCACTACGTGGGATCGGCTACATGAATCCTTTTTCTCCATTGTGTCCTGTTAAAAGTCAAATTCTCATTTAAATCTAATAAAGAAAGATCATTTCTAATATTTTTTAACAAAGTCTTTTTAAGTCTGCCTCTACATTTCTTAAGGTAAGTCAAATCTAAACTTCAAGAAAGCAATTCATAGAAAAAAAATTTACAATTTTTGCAAACCCAAACTATTTTTATTGCATCCTATTTAAACTTTGAGTGGTCATCTAATGATGATTTCATGTATGTGTTTTGTAAGTTGTCTCTGCTGTCGCCAGATCTATAAGCATCAGACATTCAGCTATTGCAGTTGGATGTATGCATGCTAAGAGAACTTGTGGTATCTTACAACAAACCGTAGCATATTAAATATTATTTCATATGATGGAAAAAAAGAGTTACAATTGTTCCAACGTACCTTACTAGGATCATCGTCTAGAAAGAAAAAATTGTTCACACAGTGCAAAACACAAGTCTATCTTGCAAGAAAATATAATTAGAACTACTACACGATGCCATCAGAGGTCATCATGCTAAATTTCACCCATAACATATTCTGCATATCTGACATTTTCATGCTTCTGAAACAATAGCTTTTAGGCGTTTTAATCTGACTTTCTCTAGCCTTTAGCTATTCTTTAGAGTAACCCTTTTCTGAATAGGGGCCCTATTCCCTATGGGGTCGATGCGGCTTGGAAGTAAAAACAGCAAAGGAGAGAAACAATAAATGTAGGAATATCAATTTAGGGGCTGAATTTGGATTTCTTCTTCAAAAATGATACAAGATACAATTGATTTACTATTCGAAAGATAGATTAGCTCTCCCACTAACCCTAGACCCCGCTAGGAAACTCACAGAAAACCCTAGAATAAATGTCTGCAAAACATAACCTTAAACCCTAAACAAACTCCCACTTAAATAGCCATAACACATAAGAAACATAATTGGAAACTTCCTAATTAAAACCTCTCTAATTCAATCATTCCTAACATATAATAAATATAATTGGAAGCTTCCTAATTAAATCCTTCCTAATATATAATAAACATTAGTGGAAACCTTCCTAAATAGTTCCCCCTTAATTAATAATCTTCCTAAATAGCTCCCCCTTGATTAGGAACCTTCCTAAATAGCTTTGATCCCCTTGATTCCTCCTCTATATACATAATGAATAATAGCTCCCATGGGCCGCGCAAGGTGGCCACATTTGGCATATCAATACTCCCCTCCCAAGGTGCCACATTGTCCTCAAGGTGAAATAAATGTATTGTCCATCTAGAAGTCCTCCTGGATCCTTCGCCATGTATTTGTGCCTTTTATAAACAGCCTTCCATAGTGGTCGGTCATCCTACCACCTCCACCATAAAACTCTATTCATGCTGTCCCCCCATCCAAATGCCCTATTTTGCCTCTTATCGAAGCCGTAGGAGGTAGCTCTTGATGAAAGGAGCTCTCTTCATCAAACTCTTCCCATCCGATCTCTTTTCCTTTAGATTTGACCAAGGGAATCCCGGTCAAATTGTGGTGGGCGTTAGCAATCGAAACCACCGGTGGAGTTTTGGATTGCATCTCCATGAGCTTCTTCAGCATCTAATCCAACCATCCTAATCGGCTTTCCATCCGATTTTTCATGATTGAAAACCTTCCTTCGATGGTTGAGAATATCTCCTCCACCCGGATTTGATTTGCTCCATTTCAACGCATCCACCTTATTTGTTGTCATCTCTCCAAAAATCTTGCTTTGATATCAATTTGATGCATCTTGGAAGTAAAAATAATAAAGGAGATAAGAAACAAATGCAAAAATACCAATGTAGGGGCAGAATTTGGATTTCTTCTTAAAAAACAATGCAAGATATAATTGATCTACCATTCGAGAGGTAGATCAGCTCTCCTACAAACCCTAGACACTGCTAGGAAACTCACAACAAACCTTAGAACAAACTTCAGCAAAACATAACCTCAAACCCTAAACAAACTCCCCCTTAAATAGACATAACATATAAGAAACATAATTAAAAGCTTCCTAATTCAAACCTCCCTAATTCAATCCTTCATAACATAATAAACATAATTGGAAGCTTCCTAATTAAAACCTTCGTGATGAAATCCTTCCGAATATATAATTTTACTATGACCTTATAAACAGGAAATAATCATGCAGCCATAGTCTCATTCTAAAGAGAACAGAGATTTTTAACAAGCACAAGAGATTACAAGTACGACAGTAAACGCGCTGGCATAGAAGGAAGAAAAACAAATTTTAAATGACCTGCAAGAGAAGGACAACATTGTCTCCCTCATATGTGCATGCAGGAACATAGACAGCAAATAATTCAGGAAGCCCACTGCTGCACAGATAACCATGTCCGCCACAAAGTTTTCTACATTCTTCAATACCATCCTGCAAAAGGGAAAGAAGTTTCCTTAGCCACATTTTGTAGATCTAGAAGTTCACAAAGAACATAATTTCATCGCAGTAAATGATACAATAGTTTCAAGTACAATGAAGTTAAAGATATAAAGCAACGTAATGATGCCTAAATTGAAATTAATGGAAAACAAGTACGAAAAAAAACCATCGTGATCCTTAAATTGAAATGACAGTGATGGGGACATCGACAGAAGATTTCGACCTGTTTATCAGAGACGACACATGAGATCGATGGCTATGATGGAGAGCCTTTACTATTGATGCCTATTTGTATTAGCATTTTATGTATTATGTATTTCTTTTTCAGTTTTTCCATTTTTGCCCTTATGGGTAGTTGATTGCTTTTGTAGCCCAAAGGGCATGTTAGTCTTTTGTACTAGTTGTCATGTAGAGCCTATATATATGGCTCTTGTATCTTGTATGAAGATTGATTATTGTTAATGAAAATTTCTACTTTTTTATCTCTTTGTGAGTTCTACTTTTTCCTAGATCTCTTTGTGAGTTCTTGAGGAGAGAACCGTTAGATCTCTTTGTGAGTTCTAGTGGTTGACGGAGTAAGGTTCGTGCTTCCCAATTATCTTATCCTCCTCCTCCAACACTTCCCCTCCACCTCAAGAGAAAACCACTTAAAGCTCTTGGCCTGAATCCGACCCCAGCCCCCATTACTGCCGCCTCCTTGGAGCTCTAGTCGCCGGCCACTTTCACAGCACCGGCCGACCATCTTGGCGCCGACCTCCCCACATCTGTCCAACCCCTCTCTCCGCTAGTTTCAAATTTGAAATTTGAATTTCAAATTTCAAATTCTTTCCAAATTTGGAATTCCAATTTAAGAAAGTTTCTATGATTGAATCCAATTTCAAATTAATTTAAATTGGAGTCAATAATTTTTAATTCCACATCATCACCCCCATTTGGAAACCCCCTCCCCTCTTTCCCCAAACTCCTCCTCCCACTTAAAGCCGCCGGCCCCCTTCTTGGGGAATTCGCATTGAAAGCATTCAATGCTCCTCCCCTCATTTGAAATTTAGAATTGATTTCAATAAAATATTCCCTCCAATTTCGTTTAAAACTGAAATTAATTTCAATTTCTCAACAAACCCTAGCCTCATTGATGCCGCCAGCCTCTAATGGCTCTCCCCATTGAATAAGCATTAATCCTCCCCCTTAATTTGGGATCCAAATTGGATTTCAAATAATTTCCCTCCCAACTCTCTAAAACTGAAATTAGTTTCATTTTTCTAAAATAAATCTCAACCACTCTCTCTCTACCGCCGGCCTCCCCTCCTCCTCTCCAAACCGGACCCTCTTCTATCTTGGGTTTCTTCGTGATCTCTCGCCTACGTGTCAACTATGTATGGCGGATCCCGCGGTTGACCACGGGCTCGAATACGACATCTACGGATACATCCACGTCCTTCGATCTCCTTTCTTCGACGTTGGATTTGGCTTTGACGACACCATCGAGGATTACTTGAATCGAATCCTCCCCACCCTCGTGGACGCCGTCGACGAACAATCTTTAGACTACGAGTGGATCATCAACGGTCATCCTCCCGTGCCACCTCCACCTCCGAGTACCTTCCCAACAACGACGTTCCTCGGCTCCTCCCTCCTCGTGGCGACTTCATTTCTAGCGTGGACGATCTTCCTCCGCTCAACCTAGAATCGTAGGAAAGAGAGTAGGACCCTAAGGTGAACAACTCGTTATTAATTTTTGGATTCATGTTGTAAGCTTTTAACATTACTTTTCCCTTTGTATTTGATTAAATTGTCTTGGTTAATTTCCATATAACTCTTTGCCTAAGCAAGTGTAATACGGAGAACTCTTGTAACCAACTTTGAATGGATGCATGATTTTATAACGGTTAATCTTTTAGTAAATTCTCTTTTATAATCTTGTGTAACTCCAAGCTTGCATCACATCAGACAGCCTTTGTGAAACAGAAAATTATATACAAGAGAAGGACAAAGGAAAATACAAATAGTATAACTACAATCAATGAATCATAAATTAGATGTTTTGTGTGATTAAAAACAACTTAGAACTAAGACATCATACTAGCAAAGTTTTTTCAAAGTGCTGTATTGATAGTATCTTAAAAAAATTACTTTTCATCGCAAAATCTTTCATGCCAAATGATTAGATTTATGTTACAATATTTTCAAGAATAGCATCATCTAGTATTAAAAAAAAAACTATTGACCAACAAGAAGTGTTGACTGTAGAAATAATTTCAAATTATAGAAAAAATTTAAAATTTCCTTTAAAATTATGGTAAAATGTTCCCCTCCATAATGTCATGTAAAATTTATATACATAAATATATGTAATACTGACTCAATTCCTAATAACACCATCTTCATCATTTGTCTTATCCCAACTATTTGTGATCAGCCTTATAACTCATTTTTTTAGGTGTTAAACCTATCATTCAAAAATCTTTTAAAACAACTTCTAGCGATTCTACATCAGACTTAGCCCTTTCAATTCCAAACTACACAATTTTATATTCTCTTAGTTGCTTATGTGAAATTAGTGAATAGTATGGCAATATCAACTATAAAAAAACAATGACAGCAAAAGGAATTCATTGCATGATTAAACCTTCCGATATACTACAGTTGACTGAACATTTTACATATGCAAGATGGCGTTGTATAGGATTAGGAGCTTCTTCTTCTAGATGATCAGCATAAAAAGGGATGGTGTTCAATAACTTGCCAAATAAAAGGATAGTACACTATTTCTATGTATATTCAAAACTTAGTTCATGTCTCCTTTATCATTAATAACTTTACAAAAGAAATGATTCTCCGGAAAAAAAATCACGAGATACAGCAGCTTAAATTGGGATGACTTCAATCTTACTTTCTTATAATCAGAAGTCCTATAATGGAGTCAATAACCTCTGCACCTCTGCAATGCTAGTGTAAGACTGAACATATCAACGCCTCCCCAGATACTGTAATAGCAGGAGCTACTTGCAGTAGATGTGCCCTTTAATAGCTTTTTTAAAACAATTATTTAATTAAAATAATTTAAGTTATTCAATAATAATTATGAATAAATTTCATTATATCGCAATATATTACTTTAAAATAGAATAGTTACACCAGCTAAAAACACAAGAACATGCAATACCTAGGTTTCGTTTGGGATGACTTTCTTAGTGCTTATTAAAGTAGCTTTTTAGTATAAAAATTAATTTTTTTTACTAAAAAATTGTTTTAAGAAGTAGTAAAAAAACTGTCCCAAACGAAGCCTTAATCTCAATACATTATTTTAACCAAACGTCTCCCAAAGAATAAGAAAATTAAAGAAAATGTGACTAGTTTCTTGCAAGCAAGATGAGTTTCCTAACATTTGAACATATGCCAATTATTATTCTAACAACGAACCACGATGTTCCTCAATTTCAAATTAGATCAATAAATAAATAGATACAAGTGAGCATAGCAATAGTGCAATACTCTCTTTATCAGTTATACTCCAGTGCTACAATGCACAAACCTATGCTGAGGAGACAAAAATCTTCCTTCAAGGAAAAATCCATATTCCTTAGAGATGGCAACAAACGAAAAACAATATAACATAGCATTAGGTAATCATAACCGTCTAGCACTACCAAACTAGGGAGATGACATCATATTAGTAAGAGGAATTAGAATAAATTAAGAAATCGCTTAAGCTGCAAAATGGTAAAGAAATGGAAGGATTAGAATATACTGCTGTAACAGACGTTGTCAGCGACTTCAAACCAGCTGTGCAGGCATGAACCTCAGGCAATGTTGCAAAGTCCCCAGCCTGTAATCTTTGCGTCACATCCGTGTAAAGCCACTTTAACCAATTACCCACAAACCTGAAAGCATATGCTGAAGCAAGCAGGGGGAAAAGCCTACTTTGTTGAGTCTTGTAATCAATCACCTACAACAAATGGCTTTTGAATTTGAAGATAAGATGGTTTTGTCAAAAAAGAGAGGAGAGAGAGAGGGGGAGAGAGAGAGAGAGAGAGAGAGAGAGAGAGATTAAACAACACAAAACGGCTTGTATTTATAAAACAATCATCAAACACACTAAATGCTATGATTTAAAACCATTTCGCATGTTTCATGAAATCAGGAATTTCTATAAGAAACAGTAGAAATGGAATCAATGTTTCTACTTGTATTTGTATTAAAAAATGAATAAAAAACGGAATCAATGGTTGTCCTCTAGCATTCTCAGTTTCAAGTGGTGGATTAACTATCCTCACCTCCTAATCTTGATGTTGTGGGTTGCCTTCCCACTCTTTTGTTAGGCCAAGAGCCTCCTATCTTCTTCTTGGTTATTGCAATATAATCCCTAACTCACGACTGTACTTGTGGGCTCATGATTCCTCTGTGCCACTCGCCATTAAAAATTCATTACATTCTTTAACGCCCATATGTTGAACTGCTCATGTGTCAGCAGAGTGGCTTCACCTTTGTCAACATCTAAAAAAATGTTGCTCAACATAAATTGAAAATATGCCTTCTTCTCCAAATTAATAAAACCAAGACAAGAACTTCGCATGCCAACACAATAAGAAAGAGCATCAAAATAAGGATGATGGTGTTGACCTCTATACATATCACCAGCATTGGGACACCAGACAACCTGCTGCTTTGTTTTAAGTAAATAGGGACGGATAATTGAGGCAGTTTACACACAACAAGCCAAAAGGCAAATTGTGGTAGTTCTCTGTAGACAGAAGCAAGCAGGCGGCTTGTTGGGCGCATGAGCACGGGAATGGAGGTGACGGGCACAAACAACTTGTTAGATGCAGACTGGGCATGCATTGTGTGGAATGACGAAGGCAGGGCGAACAGGTTGAGGTAGCTGTTCAGGTTCATGCAGGCGTGAGGTGGCACGATCGTACAAGTCTGTTGAGTGGAAGGCAGACATGCATAGGAGTCGGGATGGTGCGCTGTTGTGCGTTACGCACGTGAATTCACAGGCTGCAAGTTGGGAGTGATAGACTGTGGATAAATCAATTGTAGGAAATCACGGCCTGTGTGGATGCTTGAGCAGAAGCAAAAGAGGGATTTCAAATCGGAGCGTGGAAAGGGATTCGACGCAGGAGTTGATGCGGGTAAGAAGGTTGAATATGGGAGACACAGGAGCAGACTGAGCGAAAGCATAAGTTTTTTTTTTTTTTGTTCGATTTCTCCATGTTGCATAGAATAGATGTGTCTCTTTCTGAAGTGTTATGTCTGTTTCACATTTCCCATTTTTTTTCTATTTTATTTCAGTCAACATTACTGTTCATACGATAATCAATTGTTGAATCCAATTCTCTGTTAGCATGTGAACAGAGTTGACAAGGTTGAAATAACCAATTATTTAAATCTCTCCGATGATGACCGTGTTGAACATAAATCTCAACGGGATGACTTAATTTTTAATTTTCATTAAAATCGTTAAGCTCAATGTTTATTAAATATTTTGATATTTAAGATTAAAATTAACCATGTAAACTTAAAGTAAAACTCCACCATCCGCAACCGTTTGGCTAGGATGATGAACTCAAGAGTAACTCTAACTAATAGAGAGTAAATGTCCAGTCCAAAATATCACTCAAATTCATTCTAAGTGCTAGTAAAAAACGCGACATTTGACCTCTAGCGCTGGCTTGACTATATGGCTCCATAATGTGGGCACGATCCTATTTGGTATGATTTTACTGAAATAGCCTCTCTTAATTTTAATAATGTGCCTATTAAAAATCATATTTGTGTCATAAGTTATTAACACTATCATCCTATTCTAACAAAAAAAGTCGATCCACCTATTACAAAGGCATCAAATGCATATCCACATGAAATATAAAAAATATATTTTCAAAATTACTGTAAAATATGGAATAACCCTTTCCTTTAAAAACGTTTTGCTAACCAGCTCTTGCTCTAGTGCTAGCCAGTCAAACTTGATATCCTTGTACTCGATTAAGTAGATTAAAGAGTTCTGTCTGGCATTCTGCTCTCTTTGTTTTTTTTTTTTTAAGGATATTGAATCCATGAGCCATACTTTAATGCGGATGCTTGAGCAGAAGACTTAAGTGGCATTTAAGAACGACATATTAGAGTATTATTTTAAGGTCTTAATAATGCTTGAGAAAGCTATCATTTTAAGGTCTTAATGTTAGGATATCCAAAAAGTATGACAATTCTATCCAGCCGCAGTAAATTGGCATTGCTTAGCTTCAATTCAGTTATAATATATATATATATATATATCAATGTTTAAAATTGTGTATTCGGGTATTGAGGCGTTTTTCATTCGTGAGGCGAGGCGTAAGCCTCAAGGCGTTTTGAGGCGTAAGTCTCAAAATCAAAAAATTGCGTAAACATAAAATGATAAATTTTTTATATACTAATGAGTGAATAATATAAAACATAAAAAAGCATAAGATATGAAGTGAAATCAAAATATCCCAATAATAAGACAACATGAAATATAGTTCAACTCAAAATTCTATCTTTCTCAAATCCCAGTATTCTTTTCATTAACATATAATTCAAATTTCCAAAAATAAATAGCAATGACATATCACATAAGAACTCGGAAGTCATCAGCATTTTCATCACTAAGGGGTTATTCATTCAAATCATCATTATGATGAACTGCTCTCTCCCCTTCCTCCTCTCCTATAGAGTCCAATGTCGGGCATTTACTTCAAGATTTATGTAAGTTTTAATATATATAGCGTGAGGTGTAAGCCTCATGCCAGTGAGGCGGGGCGGGCCTCAACCAAGTTGAGGTGCAAGCCTCATAAAAAAAACTCGAGGCGTTTTTTACTGGAATTGCGCAAAGGCAAGCCTCATATTGCGCAATTTTAAACCATGATATATATATATAGTTTTAGCGGTTAATTGACGTCAAAATTTGACATCGAAATTTAAAAAAACTATAAGTTTGGCTATATTAACGGAATAAATAGTAGAAATCGAATCTACATAATATGTATAAACTACAGGAAATAGAGCGCGAATGATAAAAGTTGGTGTGTGGTTTCACGCAGTTGAGGCATTCGGTTGGAGTGGAAGTAGTGCTGGTAAAGTATTACAGGCAGAGGCTTGTTTGAACGGAGCACGCAGGAGATTTGGGCGGACTCTAGATCAAGGGTTGGAAGGGGATTCATACGATCAGAATCGGGCGCTAAGTGCAGACAGCGTGAGATCTCATGTTGGCTTCGGTCGAAAGTGGCGGGGATCGGAGGCGGGAGTAGTGTGGTCTGAAGATGGGCCGACGTAAAGCGCTTCGCAGGCGAGGCGGATGCACAGATAAGCACGATCCCGCACTTGTTGGGCCCGGAAGCAGGGATTGAATGGGGTTTTGTGCGATTGGGTGTTCGGTTGGACCAATTGGAAGTAACAACAGGTACGGGATTGGAGGAAGACGACGAGAGCATAAGTGGCATCAAGAGCGTAAGTTTTTCCATAATCCTTTTTTTTTAATTTATCTTCTTTTTATTGACTGAATTGCTGAAGGGAGTTATTGTGAAAAAGAGCTGAATCGTTTAAGCGTAAAATTGTATGAAGTGGGGTCGGATCGTAGTCGTGAAGAGATATATCTCTTTGATTTTTTGTTTTTGTTTTGTCATTCGTTTTTTTTTTTTCTGTTATATCGCTCTTTTGTTTTGTTCATTCATTCATTTTTTTATTATTTTAAATCAGTCAACAATGAGAAAGCAAACACTAAATAAAAGAAAAAGCAAGCAGAGTTAAACAATCCAGTTTTGCCTAAAAGATATAGTTTCCTCCATGATTACATAGTTTCATGGCAATATAGTAGCCTGTATGATTTTTTAAAAAATATGATATGTGATTTTTGCTGCACATTACTTAAATTCAGTTTTAAAAAAGTTAAAATAGGTACCTGAGTTTCAGGACCACCATTCTGTGAGCCAAATTGCCTGCGAACAGCACTATACCTTACTGCAATACAGACAGCCCTAGAAAGAGCTCTAGAAGCATCTGCAACAATGGTTTGTCGTACATAGACCATTGTTCCATAAACAAGTTGCCTTGGTACGTCAGAATGAATGTATTTCCCCTCTTTTGTAACCTGTGAAAGCCTGCAGCAAACTACTATAATTAATTGTATCTTCATCCCAGTGTATAAAACTTTCCACAAATCCAAAAATAAACTAGCATATTCTCAATTGGAACAAGAATGCTGACATAAAACTGTTCTTCTGAAGCTATGATATTGTTGGTGCATATTATAATACATTTAATTTAAAATCGGAATCAGAGATACATTGAAGCGCATCTTAGAAACTCTTTATTACTCTAATCAAACGTGTAACTTGTCAAGATTACATTCAACCACAAAGAGTAAGAAATAAAGGCTTACGGATTTGTGAAACCATTAATTAATGTCCTTAAAAAAATGTGAATTATGTTACAGCATAATAATCCTGATATAAGAAACAAGCCGATTCAATATATATTTGGTTATATATCTATGTTTGGAAATGCTTTTGTACAAATGATGAAGTCATCTTTGGCATCCATTTCAGTTATCTATTTTCTACTTATAATCAACGCATTATCTGATCCAGGACAACATGTTTAGTTCTGCTTCCGGTATATTTCCTAGTGAAGTAATCCAAGACAAAGCATTTATGTAAATTATTAGTAAGTTTCATTAAAGAAAGAAAGAACATATGGGCATAACACTCAAATAGGATAAGACATTAAGAGAGAGAAACATGGAGCTAAGGTAAGGCTAACCACATAGTGACCTCAAATTCAAGGATTACAGATTACAACAAGCCAAAGAACCAGTAATTTGCTTGACGCTCATGCGTCAGGTTGTGCATGTTTGTCACAGCGAATGAAATAATGCCCTCATAAAATATTATGTAAAAGTAAGCATCCTCCCTTAACACCAACCAATTAAGATGCAATAGTTTGTAACAAATATGACTTTATCATAGCAGTCAATGACCTTGAATGTGAATTTGAAATGCGTCTAATTTAGACAAGATTAGTCTTTATCCACATCATAGCATGCAGTCGCACAGATTATAGGGAATCCTGTCAGAAATCAGAACTAATTTAAAATCAAATTGTAACGCACTAAGCAGACTTTATAGTGTTCAGCCTTTGGTCATGAATTAATCCCATGTTTCTGTTGATTAATGGGGAGTCCAAAGCACATCAAAACTGCTAAGGAACACTACTGTGGTTCATATATTCATTAGCAAACCATATTGCAACAACAATATCTTCAGCCGGATAAAATATCACGTCATGAATAGCGGCTTCATGGCAATTTTTATGGAATCAGCATTGAATCTATTAATGTAGAGAAATAGTAAAATAGAAAAGTTACCCATAAATTGGAGAGTAGGGTAAGCTCATTTAGGCTGACCCTAGAATACCATACTCATCCGCGATTATTAATAAAGTATCTCTAGTAAATAAGACAATTTTTTTTTCTCGCTATCCCAACCGTCCCAACTCCAAAATCTTTGTCCCCACCCCCTAAGCCTCAATTGCACACACCGTTCATCACATGTTCATGGAGCCCACAACAGTCATTCTAGCTCTCACACTCATGCTCGCCTATGTCCCCATGCACATGCCTATAGAAGAACTCACCCACCACCATATGCCCACTCTCGAGCTTGCATTTTCCTTGAGCATCATAGAGATACTGCTCAATAGCAGCACATGTGTCTACTGCCATTTGCTACAGCCACTTGCTACCACCACTAACACTTGTTTGTCACTTAAGATATGATCACTTCTTTCTTCTCTCATGAATCCTATCCTCTCTCCTCAATAATTTTAACATATATCTCCTCTCTATCCCAACTAGCTTACATTTTTTTCAGACAATAAGTATCTAGTTGTTCGCTTTGTTTATACTTTTCAATCACACAACAAGCTCTCTTATTGTGCCATTCAATTATCTTTTATGGGTACTCTAACACTAAAACATAATATAAATATAACAATTCTCTTACCGGCACTTACAAAATTCGATCTATACTATTTTTCGTCAAGGGGCGTCTTTCTTTTTACCTTCCTCTTTCTTTAAGGCATCTTCATTGCTTTTTTCCTATTCCTCCCAAAGTTCTTATACCGATTTCTACGCCACAAAAGGCTTACTATTGAAAACTGATAGGAAGTACTAATGAAAAATAGGAAATCCCTTGCTGAAATCAGAAATTCAGCAACTTACAAAACAGTTTTTGGGAAGAAAGTAGAGGAAAAAACCAAAAAAGCACTCTTTATTTGATAGTAGATGAAAGAAAGCAAGCAAGATACAATGAATCTTCAATTCAAGAAGAAGATCCATCTCTCCCAATCCCTAACCGGCGGCTAGAGCCCAAGCAAACCTAAGAGAGATTTCAAATTTCAGCCAAATCCTAGATAACCAAAACCCTAGCCCCCAATTCCTACAAAAGCATACAATTAATGGAGTAAAATACCCAAACAGCCCTTCTAATTTTAATTTCCCTCCTAATCACTCTTTATTTCCTCCTTAAATTAGTTGCTGGGCCCCACCCCCAAAGGGGGTAGCATTACTGGTGACCAAAACTTTGTTCCGCCTCTAGTAGACTATTGTCAGTCCAGGCTGGACCAGTCTATCAATACTAGCCTCCCAAAGATCCACCTTGTCCTCAAGGTGGAAAGGCAAAAATGAATGTTTCACTCTCTCATATGGCTCCTAGGTGACGTCATAATCAGGTAGGTTCTTCCACTTTATCAGCACTTCCTTAAATCCACCATTTCCCTGTCGTACCCTTTTCAACTCCAGTGGTTCCAACATTACCTCCAGATTTGTTGTCAGTGTCCCCGGTCATTCTGAACTAGCTGCATGATCTCCAATAGCTTTCCTCAACTATTATATATGGAACACCGGGTGTATAGTTGCGATTGAGCGTAACTTCAATCGATAAGCACTGTTCCCTGCAATGTGAACAACACCCTGTAGAAATAACTGAGGAACGCCTTATCTTTGTCGGATACTATAGACTCTGGCATTTCATGCAATCTAACCACCTCTCTGATGAATGTCGTTGTTACTGTCACTGTAGTGTAAGGGCTAGGGGAATAAAATGAGTATATGATGGGGACATCAGCAGCGATTTTGACACATGTACCTCCAGGAGATGCCGGAGATCGACGGCCTCGATCATGATTTATATTTTCATCATTTTATGTAGTAATCTATTTTTATTTCATGTTTTTCCATTTTTCCCCTTATGGGTATTTGATAGTTATTGTAGCCCAATGGGCATTTTAGTACTTTCGTTGTCATTTTGAGGCCTATTTATATGGCCATTTTCTCATGTAATAGTTTAGCTTTTGATGAAATGAAAATTTACCATTATGTGTTCTGTTTGTGAGTTCAAGAAGATCTCTTGGTGAGTTCTTCACCCTCGATCTCTTAGTGAGTTCGCCGGAGAAGACTAGATCTCTTTGTGAGTTCTAGTTCATGCTAACTAATCTTGTGGAAATTCAACGAGAAGACATTTGAGGTTAGTAAATTAGTAGTTGTCAAATCTTCGGAAGCTTCCATCTCTTTTCCTCTTTGCCCTTGCCGCCGTTTGCTCCAAGCAACCCTAAGCCGCCGGCCACCTTGCACCTCCCTTCCTATTTTGCCGGTCAGAAAAACAACCGCCACCGGCCGGCCACCCGCCGACCAGCATCCGGCCACCCGCCGGCCAATCCAATCCGCCCACCTGTTTTCAAAATTTGAAATCCCATGCCAAGGCTTTAATTTCTTTCCTATTATACATCTCCTTCTATTAGGAAATTTGGCCCGTTTTTATTTCTTTTCATTTAACGTGAAATCCCCAACGGCTAGAAGCTAAAGCCATTTAGGAAATTTTTCCTGTGTAATGAATCTGAGAATCAAGTCTCAGATTTGTTAATTCCGTAAGCTTATCAAGAGAGGCCACGTCACTATTTTGATTGCTCTCCTCTCTCCATGGGGCCGGCCACCTCCTCCTCTTTTCTCTCTCCAATCCACACTTAATCAATAATTAAATATCTCCTAAATACCTCCCCATCTATCACGGGATTTCAGTTTTTTATTTCAGATTTCAAATCTGAGATTTGAAAACAAAGCTTCCCTATTTCCTCTAAATTAAAACTGAAATCAGATTTCAGCTTTCTTCCCTCCCACTAAATAACATCTCTTTTCCTTCTCCCTCCACCACCCCAAGACCGGTCACCTCCTTTTTCCTCTCGGAGACTCCTTCAACCCTAGGCAAGAATGCATGGCGGACCCCGAATTTGAATGGGGACTTGTGTTCGACGCTCACGGCAACCTCGACTGATAGACGCGCCGGAATCTCCTGTCGATGCCCCCATCACTAACCACCTCTCTGATGAATGTCGTTGCTACTGTCACTGTAGTGTAAGGGCTAGGGGAATAAAATGAGTATACTTGCTCAATCTGTCAACCATCACCAAAATCGTTGTAAACCCCTCAGATTGGCGTAGCCCATCTATAAAGTCCATGGTGATCTCCTCCCAGGCCCTGTATGGTAGAGCTAGGGGTAGAAGTAACCCCGTTGGAGCTATGGCCATATACTTGTTCTGTTGGCATATCTCACATCTAACCACAATATCTTTCACATCTTTGTACATCCCCTTCCAATACAACTCACATGTCAATCTCCTGTATGTCTTATGCACACCAAAATAACCCTCCACCGCGCTCTCATGGAACTCCTATAGCAGCTATGCGATATGGACGAAGGTTCGAGGCATCACAAACCTCCTTTGGTACAATGCTTTACTATTTGAAATCTTATTCTTGATATGTTAAAATTGATTGACACCGAATGGAATATTCTAATAAGCAACTGTTTATTCATGCATAGTATTAGCTTATTGGCGATCATTAATTGTCAACTTCCCATAACTGGTAAAGCACTGCACATGTTAGGGGAGATTGCGTAAGATAAGAAGGGTAGGGAGGTATTTTCCATCGATAATGTGTGGGATCTATTTTGAGAAAAATCTTCAATGTGAGGGCATTTTAATTTGATTGAAATTTTTTGTTAGATTTAAAAATTGAAATGGACTACATAATAAACTCTCGTGAACCCCAGAGAGTTGACATCTAACTCCTTATAGTGTTCATTTTAAGGTTAATACATTAAAACTGAATCAACCATACATTGGCAGTTAATGATATGACATTTTTATCTTTAAGGTTATGCTTAACAACAACAATTGCAGGCTTTCTGCATATTTTAGACAGGAATGTTGCAGTCAATGACAACAATGGATAATCATTATTTCATACGTAATATACAACTTAACAATACCAGCACTAAAAAACAAAGGATGGGAAAGGGATGTAAACAGTAAAAGGAAAAAAACGCAGAGCACAACAACTTCCAAACCTCATTAACATCTGATCTCTTGGTATGCGCACATGATCAAATTGTAGAACACCATTGTCCATTGTGTTGTATGCACCATTTCCAAATTTTGTGCCAATGTCACCAACAGTGATACCAGGGAGTGGCAAGTGATCATCAAGACTTCGTAATTGGACAATGAATCCTGAAATTTGAAGACTGCCCTGTGAAGACTGTCTTAGCAAACTAGTACAATAAGATAATGTTAACCTATGCAAAGCATACCATGAACACCATAATCCTGTCCATCCGTTATCAGACGGGCATAAACAACTGCATGCGTAGAGATTTTCCCCAAGCCACCAGGCCACCACTGGTTGAAATGATAGACATTTACAGTAAAAATTTATTTCATAAAAATAATCTAAAAGAGCAACTATACACTTCAATAAAGAGAAGCATATGAAAAAAAGCACTTAAACATAGTGGCAACACGATGGAAAAAGAAATGCAGTATCAGAAACATGGATGAAACGTTAAATGATATCATTTGAACAAAGGTTGCAGTTATCTTCACAGAGCAAGTATAAAGTTCACTAACTTTGCTTGATGTCAATGTAGGGCTGTGAATGATAAATTCGTCAGTATTAGGATCAAAAGTTGCCGTTGTCTCAAGTCCTTGAACATTTGAACCATGACCAAGTTCAGTTTGAGCATAACAGCCAATAATTTGCATTTTATAGGCCAAGGATAACCATTTCTTCTGCTGTTCATCAGTTCCTTGTCCTTTAATAGCAGGAACAAACATGCCCTGAAGAAGAACATGAAACAAGTGAGTCAGGAACAATCAGAACAATGCATTAATTTGAATAGCTAAGTATTAAAATAAAAATCATAGTAGAAGATTAATACTCCTTTTTTTTTTCAAGAACTACTATGATGCACCTCTCCTTAAAAACAAAGGCAAATCATACTTAGCCAATCTATCAAACAGTTAGCACATCAAATCAATTTTTTTAATCTCAAAGACAGTAGTCCTAAAAAATTTCTCATTTCTCATATATTGAGTATGATCCATATGAGCAGTCATTGATAATCATAGCATAAATGAAGTTGCATAATTACATACCCAATGCAAGTCCACATAAGCAGGCTCATCCACGAAGAATCTTAACATTGATGACTCTTCTTCTGTTCAAACCAAAGTTTTAACTATAAGATATCAAAGAACAAGAATAAAAAAAGTAAACGGTACAAGATAACTTATCCATGACAATATATCTAAATCATTAGCAATATAAAGTCTCAAGTCAGATGCATTAGACATTAAAATATAAGGTGTCACGAAGCTCTTCATACTTTTCTTACTAATCGGCATTGGCTTTGGCACAACAATTATGGAAGTATTGACCGTTTTTTTAACATGTATCGGTTAGAAGTAAAATATGCTCTCATATTACTGAGACAAAGTTCATTGAAAATCTGAAGCCTATGGGAGGCCAAATCTCTCATAAAATATATTTGTTATCATGCAACAAATGAAAAATTACCCAAAAAGTTCAGAAACTAGAAGCTAGAGTAAGAGACATCATTTGCTAGGGACAAAATTCTTTCAACGGAAATTATGTAAGTGCATGGAAAATAGGGGAAATTCTTAAAGAAAATTTGAAAGAATACCAAAACTACCAACATGAAGTTTTAAGCAAAGACTAAAAGTTCAGGAAGTACTAATTGCATATTCTGAAAAGCAAAAAGGAATGATTGAGTTTTGTAAGCAGTATTTTAGAGATAGAATATACAACATTATCCTTAAGATCATTGACATTAAATAAATTCAATGAACAAAGTTAACTGAAAAATCTAGAGCAACCTACTTGATAGAAAGAGATTCCAAAAGAGCTCAGTCCGGAAATAACAATCTTATAACCATATGAACGAACAAAATTGAGCATTGCACAGATGATATAGATCAAGTTCTACATAACAATGCAAAATGCAAGATACATGAAACCCTCCACATGTGAATATAGAGCTAAGATTGGCTATTTTTTATCAGTGCAACTGGAGCACTCAAATCATACACAAATGTGATGCAATATCAGTATAAATCAAAGCAGTACAAGCAATAAACGCACATTGTACAAAATAACGGATAAATGAATTAGCATAGCACACCACATTACCGGTTAAACGGAGCTCATTGATGCGTTTCCAAGCATGGCCAGCTTTTCTCAGGGAATTTCTAAACAACTCCTTACGGCCAAGCACAGTTCTATTATCCTTCCGAAATTCCTGACAAAATGCAAATCACTCCTTATATTAAAATCTAGTAGATCATATAAATAAAAACAATGCAACTGTATTTTTTAGATAAAATTAATCAAAATAAAATCAAGCTAAATCTCAAGTATGCTCATCAGTATTTGTAAGCTGAGAGACAAAACCCACGCATATATCCCACACCTAATGAACTAAACTCAGATCATAAATTTCATCATTTATTCTTTATTTATAATTTATGTTCATTTAAGCATGCTCCATAATACTTATCTATTATTGATATGTCACCAAAAATCGCCTTGATCGAGCATGAATCTTGAGGCATATTCTATTTGGTAACTTCCAAAATTAAATACAGGATCATCCAAACTCCAATTTAAGCGCAAACTTATAGTCAATTTGAACGTCTCAGTGAGACATACCCAACGACAACAAAATCGGTCCAATCCGAGCCCAAATGGGCCCAAATCAAGAGACCGAAGCATATTTTGAAGCTTCAAAGCATAAATTGGGCAACCAAATGATCTCCAAATATGGCAGGCTTATAGTCAAATTGACCTGCTCGACAAGAAAAATCTAAGGAGCCCAAGGTCTCTTAAATTTGACATCACTAAGGTACTTAAAAGCTGCATGAATACTCCATGATCAAGAGAATCAGTATGAACCGTCTGATGGAGCACTTCGAATCTACCCTTGATCTTCTCATATTTACAGGGCATGTAACTCTCAAAATCTATAAATAGACCCCCTCTTCCCACATGAAATGAGGTGATGTATGCAAAGGGGGGGGGTCAACACAAGCATTGGCTGTTTTCGGTTTGAGCTCATGTAGTTGAAACTCTAGTGGTGCCAGCTCATTAATATCTAAAAAGCTGGCTGATATTTCCATGCATGGGCCTATTTCCTTGTAAGGTACTTTAAAGCTACATGAAAACTCCATGATCGAGATAATCAGTATGAACCGTCCGATGGAGCACTTCGAATCTACCCTTGATCTTCTCATATTTACAGGGCATGTCACTCTCAAAATCTATAAATAGACCCCCTCTTCCCACATGAAATGAGGGCTCTGGAATAGAGACTTAAGAGAGATAGGAGGCTTGAAGCATCTCGGAGCTCCACCCCAACACCACCGTCAGTGAACCCTCGCCACTAGGCCACCGCTGTTGAACCTCTACCCAGCCATCTCCATCAGAACTTTGTTCGACTGCCATCATCTGACATCTGTTGCCCGCCGAATATGGCCCCTTCTACCTCCATCGCCCACCAAATAAGATCCCTCCGACCTTCGTCGCTCGCTGACTATAGTCCCTTTGACCACAGTCACGTGCAGACTACTATCCCTCCTACCACAGTCACCTGACTATAATCCTACCAACCAAACGAATAGACCAATATTCTTTTGAGAACAACTCACATATGACTAGATTCTTCCAACTTCCACCATGTATTGTGCTCTATATAATGTATATTTACTACACTCAGCTAAGGCATTCCCCTCGAGGAAGGGCATTATTTGTAATCGAATACAAACACTAGTAGAATCATCTCAACTACATCAGACTCCAAGATTTTTCCCCTTTTCAAGGTTTTCTAGTTTATCTATCTATGTGTTGTATCTTCTTACAAAGCTTGAATGCTAAACTCTATCTCTCTTTACTACTGCAAATATTACAAGACGCAATTACTATAATAATAATATTTCAATAAAACATAGATACTACATAATTAACTTCATGTAAAGTTGATCATATTTTGATATGCGTTACATTAATGAAACAAATTATAATTGATAAAAGCTTATATTTTGTTGAATATTAAAATACTAATTTTTTAATTTCCTTTAATCTTAACTAATAACATATTTTATTATTTTCAAATAAATAAAATTAAAATTATGAAACTTGAGCTTCATTCTACATAGAGATCAGCCATTTTGCTTAACACATCCACTTTTTAAAACATTGTTATATCCAAAAAGACTACAAAAACATATATTCTGAAAGCAGAAATGAAAGGTCAACGAGAATGTAACTTCATTAGAACTTGTCAAAAAATCCCAAAACTGTTTGGCCCAGAAAATGTCACCCTTCAGTCTCGTAGTCCCTAACCAAACAGCCACAGATGCAAACCGTACAAAAATCCAAGTTCAAGTCAACAAATTCACCAAAAAAATCAATAGCAGAAACCTACGGGATCGCTGGCGACTAGACGGGACATCCGATCCGCAATCTCGAAGGCGCGGTGGGATCCAGCCCATACGATCTTCATCGCCTCAACATCAAACTCAGCCGTGATCCTCTCAGGTGCCAGGTGATCGACCTCCTCCATAGCTCCAAAAATTTCCCACCGACAGCGAAGAGATCGGGAAATAACTCTATCTTCTCAGCAACCCCAGATGTATGAGTACACAGTACAGGGCGCAATAATAGACCACGCTACTCAATATATATATATAGAGGACAGTTGAGTGAGAAATTTGGGAAGGATTCTCTTGAATTTTATTTGTATAATTTTATATTAAAAAAAAAATTATTAAGATAGTTCAACGAGGGGTGGAGTTAAATTTTTTGAGAAATTTACATATATACCACTTTATAATATCATATTTACATATCTAATAACTAAAACTTTAATATTACATGCATACCACCCTATATTATTTTAATATCAAATATACCACTAATATTTCTTTCCTACCACTCATATATTTCATTTCTACCACTCATATTTGATATGAAAATGAACTATGGGTGGTATGTATGTAATATTAAAATTTTAAGTGTTAAATATGTAAATAGAATAGTAAAAGGTGGTATGTATGTAAATCTCCCAAATTTTTTTTATACGGGGATACAAATTATTGAATTTAAGAAATTTTTTTAATTTTTTTCATCAGGATTTAAGACTGACATTGACAATTAAATTTTTTTATTAAAAAAAAAGAATACATGATAAAGAAAAAAACTTACAAATCTTCCTAGTCTTAGGTAACACTATATTCTATTAACAAATAGTATTTCTGCACGTTATCCTTCTCATTTAGATGATAATCCAATTTTTTTTCTCCCGATTCGAGACCAATAAGGAAATCAATTAAATTTATTTCTATACTACTATGTTTAACTTGTGTATTGGTCTACTACATAAAATTTTCTAGTCATTTCTTTTAATTTTTTTTTAAATATTTCTTCATATCTAAATTTATGAAAACATAATTTTCTTACATTAAATCTTCATGATGTTCGTGGGGTTGTATTTGATGAAGAGATATTGGAATGATTTATATGATTTTACTTGATACAAGGATATTTAGAACCATAGGTAGAAATTTTTCGTGAATTATACCATTTGAAAAGCCACTACTCAATGGCTTGAACCCGATTACAAATACAAGAAATTTGTAATAATTTTGAAACAAACACAAAGGTTATTTGCAATCGTTAAAATAGCTACAAAATGTCCTTAAAAATTATTTACAAATTCAAATTTTCATGTATTGAATAGAATATCTTGATCTAAAAGAAAATAATAATTTAATTGCAAATTGACATACATTTTAAATTATAAATTTTAATTTTATAAAAAAATTTCAGTAATATACATATAAATTTTTTTTTGTTAAATTGGAATTTATTTGACAAAATTTAAATACTTTTAAAGTTGATTTCTTGATTTTTAACTCTAATCATTAAAAAAAAAATCCAATGGTTGAGATCTAACAAAACTTGTGCATTATAGACGCTCATCTCATCTCAGTTATTGGAGAAATTTTTCTGTGCAGAGATCGAATGCAGAACACCGTCCGGAGATCAACCAGAATGCACCACGTCAAATACTAAGCACAGGGGTGACATGGCGCATTCTGGTTAGTCTCCAGATGACGTTCGACGTACACCCAGAATAATTAATCCAATTATTGAGTCAAGACGGTTCAAGAACGGTGGCTCTAAGTGCTTCCTTCTTAGAAATGACTTGAAGGGTTGAATCTGACTGCAATTGAGCATCTGAATCATGCATTGATACAAAAAATCAACTCATCAGCAATATATAGGTACACAAGCTGTTCCATAATGTAAAAGATAATTCCTAGAAAACCCTAAGCCTGAAAATTACATGAGAATGCTGGATCTATACATGAAAATGACAGAATAAGCTCTATATTTGGCCAACAAGAAAATAAAACTTTACAGAGAATTGCTATTGAAGAGTTTCTGAGCATCCATCACAAACACATCCCCATTGCAGCAATGATATATCATAATTCAATCCGAGAAAATAATCAAACCGCCCTCTCAGTTTTCACAGGCTAAGATTTCACCTTTCAGCTTGCATCTTCCGCATCCAAGTAAAAATGGACTGCTGGCAACTCTTTGGCTTCGTTTGGGACGGTTTTTTTACTGCTTCTTAAAGCAGCTTTTTAGTACAAAACTTTTAATTTTTTTACTAGAAAGTAGGTTTAAGAAGCAATAAGAAAACCGTCCCAAACGAAACCTTCATCAGGAAGCTCAGGTTTGGAATGTAAGGGTGCATCTCTATTTACAATCAATCTGTGTCCCTCCTGAACCAATTATAGAAAATAAGTACATTGGCATCAAGCATATTCCCGTATGTCTTGATCTCAAGGCAGTGTTTTGTCCAGAAAAACAGATCTAAGGTTGTTGAAATTTTGATTTCTTGTGGGCGTGCCTTCTAAAAGTAAGAGGATTGCTCATGAAGAACATTCAGATGAGCAAGAATCTTTGCAGCCAAAGCTCGGACCATGGAATCCCCCTTGTGAGTTATGCAGATGAGAGGCATTTGCGCAGAAGCGCCGTAAATCTTCTTATATTCCTCGAGACGGAAAATCCTTTCCAGAACAAGAGCAGCCTTTACCTGAACATCAGGAGATTCAGAATTGAGCAGCTTTATGATAGGGACAATTCCATTCATTTGAAAAAGTAGTTTGCTGCCACTCTGCAGTCTCTCATCGACAATGAGTGTTGAAAGAGCTATTAAAGCAGCTTCATTTACTGTTATATCAGGCTCAGAAAGTAATCTAACAAGTGGCAGAACAGCTTCTGCTTCTAAAAGACAAAATGATTGTTCTACTGAGCAAACACCATTATGTACTTCACAGACTTCTTCAGGTGCTGCTGCACAGCAAAAGAAACCGCAGGGCTTTTCGACCGGCTTGGTCAGCTTAAAAGAGTTCTCGGAGAATTGCGCCAATGAAATTGCTGCATATCTCTTCGATAAAGAAGTGCCACATTCCAACAAGTGGAGAAGATCAGAGATCACACCAGCCTGAACTGCTTTCTTCTGGCATTCAAAATTCGTAGGTATTGTAAAATGGCACAAAGCTCTGGCAGCATTTTCTGTAATCTCATTCTTGGATGGACCGCCAAGCTTAGCATTTTTTAAAAACTGGATGATGACTACAAGTCCATTCCCTTCAAGAAGCCATTGAATGATTTGTAGGCAATCAGCAGGAAGGTTAGAAATAATGTACATTGAAGCAGCTATCTCTTCATCATCTTTGGATGTTTTAATGATGGATTGCAAGGTTTGCAAGCAACTGCTATCTGCTAATACACTGGCATCTATATCTTCTGTCAAGCAAGATAATAGCTTGATGGCATTGAGCCTTACTAATATATTATTGTTTTGGCAAAGTGGAATCAATACTTCAATAGCATTACACTGTGCGCATCAGAAAGCAAAGTGCTAATGAAGTTAGTAAAATAGCTTAGTAGAAAAACTAGAGGAAACCGATGATTCAGACAAAATTAGAAGCTAAATCTTAGATGCAATTTATTTAACATAAATTTTTAGTTATGATGAAAGCTAGGTTCACAGAACTACATATCATCAGCAAGTATTAAACTAAAATCAGTGGTTCAAATTTGACATGTAATAGCCTGACAATACTCAACCTAACCCGGTTCCTGCTGCTTGGTATATAGGCACTAAGGGTATCTTCTAGTTCAAATTTTTATCCGTAACCGAGGTGCTATAACTCTACTTTGGGAGTGCCAACTTAAGAGAAACAAAACTAACACCACCTAAACCACTAAAGGCACCTCGCCTAGACCCCAAACGGGTATCAATAGTTGCACAAACACCTCTTGAACTTGAGAATTAAGATCACCAGGATAAGCATGTCAACAGAATTATTTCTCTATGCTCATCTTCTGAATTGAAGCTCATCTTCAAATGTCTCACTTCTAAATTGATGCTTACAAAAATCTATTTTTGGATCTAGCAAACCTAAATGTTGAAATTGAAGATGAAAATAAAATTTCGATCTTTTTATGCTCTCCATCATCCATTTATAAGCATATTATCACCACTTTGCTATATGAAAAGAACACAATATCCATGAGAGGTAAAATCTATCCTACAATGAAACGAGTAAAGGAAAAAGGTGCAAGAGAAACACTAGAAGATACATTTAGAGAGGTGCAACAACTTCACATCATTTCATAGAGGTGCAGCAACTTGATGTGAAATGTGAACAATTATTGCTACAAATATAGATGATTTGTGAATGACTTCATCATGTAGATGGATTCCAATATTTCCCATATCTCTTTTGTGTGCCATTGATCAACTATTTTTCAAAGATCTTTGTCTCCCAAACTGAAGATAATCAAACTAAGGATTCTTGTTATTCATTTCTTCCTCCTTATTTGTACTAACTAGGAAATTCATCCCCTTTAAAGCCTTAAATGAACCACCTTGGAAAAAGGTACTCTCATCTTCATCTTCTAGATATTGAAAACATTGATTTCATTAAATTTCTCATACTCAAAAGTGATGGCATAAGATTTCGTTATCTCCTAGATTAAACCTCACTCAAATACTAAATTGTTGCGAAAGCGCTCGAATTTACATTTTGAGAGTGCTAAAAAGGGCAACGGATTATCCTAGGAGATATATATATATATATATATATATACAATACAACATGAGCGTTAATTACTAATCTACTACACCAACATTATAAATACCCCACGCACATAAGTCCATCACGTCGACAGTAGAAAAAACCGAAGTCTCTCCTTGCTAGACCCGCTCCTCCTCTCAAGTTCTAAGTTCATATCGTCACGGAGCGCATGCACAGAAACTTGATACGCCTAGGGTTTCACAATTCGGTTTTGCCCTAATTTCCCCAAAAATGAGGAATTTCTCACCAAAACAAGAGAAACAATCACAAAGATGAGATGAAGACAAGACCTTTGTTGAAACCAAGAGAAAACAAGATAAGTTTGTCCACTTCGAGAAGGACAAGATCTCCCACAAGAAAACCCTAGAAAGAAAAGAAGCTAGAGAAGAAAACTAGAAAGAGATTACACTTCATAATGCCTAAAAACTACCCTAATCCCCCCTTCATACACACAATCCTAACTCCCAATTACCCTCCCAATCCCTCCATCTCCCCTCAACATCCGTCCCCCCCTCCCGTTCAGTCCGTTTTGAATCAAAGGTGGCCAAGGGCCATACGTGGCTTCTCCCTGCTCCCCTCGGGTTTCGCCGCCCTCCCTCTCCGGCTGTAGACCGCTCGAGTCTGGGCGGATGGACCGTACGGCCATCAATAGCCGTCAATCAATACCGCCCTCTAGAAGATCAACCTTGTCCTCAAGGTTGAAGTCTGGAAATTGCACCTGCAGGGCTTCGTACATCTCCCAAGTAGCCTCATGTGTCGGTAAGTCTTTCCACTCGATGAGCACCTCCCTCTTGCCTTGATCATTCTTCCTCACTTCTTTCACCTGTAGTGGCTCTAGTACGAATTGCATATCTTCTGTGAGGCCCTGGGGTATAGTAGGAGTGGCCACAGTATGATCCCCTATGCTCTTCTTCAATAGTGATGTATGGAATACAGGGTGGATGGATGAATGAGGAGGCAACTTGAGACGGTAGGCCACCATCCCAACTTTCCTTTCAATCTCGAAAGGCCTGTAATATCGTGGAGAAAGCTTCTCACTCCTTCTGCTAGCTAAAGTCTTCTGTCGGTAAGGCCGTAGTTTCAGGTATACCATCTCTCCCACCTCAAATGTCACATCCTTGCGATGAGCATCCGCCTTGGTCTTCATAATCTGCTGGGCTCTCAATAGGTGTTCCCTCAACTCTCCTAACACCCTATCCCTCTCCTCCAAGTATTGATCCACTAGATATACAGGGGTCGTCCCCTTCTGATAATTCACCAACGGTGGTGGATCCCTCCCATAAAGAATCCTGAAAGGTGTGAACTGAGATGCGGTATGATAGCAAGTGTTGTACTAATATTCTGCCCATGGCAGCCATTTGACCCACTGCTTAGGCCTCTCCCCCACGAAGCATCTCAAATAAGTCTCCACGCTCCGGTTCACCACCTCGGACTGTCCGTATGTCTGTGGGTGGTATGTTGTACTGCGCTTCAAGAATGTACACTGCATTTTGAAGATCTCCTTCCAAAATGAGCTCAAGAAAACTTTGTCCCTATCTGAGACAATAGAAGTGGGGACCCCATGCAATCGAACCACCTCTCAGATGAAAGTAGATGCCACAGTAGGAGCTGAAAAAGGGTGTCGTAGTGGAATTAAATGGTTATACTTGCTCAACCGGTCAACTACCACCATGATGACTGTGTACCCATCAAACTTGGGTAATCCTTCAATAAAATCCATAGTGACTTCCTCCCAAATCTTGTTTGGAAGCACCAAGGGCTGCAGCAGACCACTAAGGGCACAAGCTTGATATTTGTTTCGTTGATAAATATCACATTTGCTTACCATGTCTTCAACTTCACCTCTTAACCCTTTCCAAAAGAATTCGGCCTTCACCCGCCGATAGGTCTTCTCCAGCCCTGAATGTCCACCAATACAGCTATCGTGGTACTCCCGTAGCAGAATGGGGACAAATGTGGAGTCACGGTGTAGTACCAACCTCCCCTTGTACAACAAAAGAGAGTTCTCCAGGTGATACCCTTTGAACCCTCCTCCCTTCTGGATAGCCGCCCGAATCCTCTCTAGCTCCTCTACATGTTGATTTTCCTTCATCATTTCACCCCAATCTACCAATTATGGTACAGATAGTGCCATCAGCTGTGAGCATTCCATACGGGAAAGAGCATCTGCCGCCTTGTTTTGAACCCCTGGCTTATACTGAATCTCAAACTCATATCCCAAGAGTTTGGCTAGCCACCTCTGATGTTCTTCTGCCACCAATCTCTGCTCTAGTAAGTACTTGAGACTCCGCTGATCGGTACGAACTATGAATCGTTGCCCCAATAGATAAGGCCGTCCATTTTTGAATAGCCAACACAATGGCCATCAGTTCCCGCTCATAAACTGATTTCAACTTTGTTTTAGGCGATAAGATCCTGCTGAAGAAAGCAATCGGCCTATGATTCTGCATGAGTATCGCTCCCAAACCCACTCCTGAAGCGTCAGTCTCAACCACAAACTGCTGGGTGAAATCTGGAAGTGCCAAAACCGGGGCACTAGTCATGGCTTCCTTCAGGGTCTTCATGGCCTCCTCTGCCTTTTCTCCCCATTGAAAATTGCCCTTTTTTAACTGATCAGTCAAAGGACCTGCTATGGAACCGTAGCCCTTGATGAACCTCCTGTAGTAGCCCGTCCGTCCCAAAAATCCCCTTAGGCCTTTAAGGGATTTTTGTGTAGGCCACTTCACCATGGCCTCTATCTTGGTGGGGTCAGCCGCCACCCCACTCTCTGAAATGATGTGTCCCAGATAATCCTCCTTCTAAGCGAAAGAACACTTCTTCTGGTTGGCATATAGCTGATGCTCCAATAAGATCGTGAGTACCACCCCAAGATGGCTGATATGGTCCTGCAGAGATTTGCTATACACCAATATATCATCAAAAAAAACTAAGACAAACCTCCTCAAGTAGGGCTGGAAGACCTGATTCATCAGGGCTTGGAAGGTGGAGGGAGCATTAGTGAGCCCGAATGGCATCACTAAAAACTCATAATGGCCTTCGTGTGTCCGGAAGGCTGTCTTCTGAATGTCTTCAGTCCTCATCCTAATCTGGTGATAACCAGACTTCAAGTCCACCTTGGAGAAGATGGTGGCTCCCCCAAGTTCATCCAAAAGCTCATCTACCACAGGAATATGAAACTTGTCCAACACAATCTCCTTGTTGAGGGCCCGGTAGTCTACATAGAATCTCCAACTACCATCTTTCTTCTTCACTTAAGAGTACAGGACTGGAAAATGGGCTCACACTGGGCTGGATCACCTGAGCCTCCAACATCTCTGACACCAACCTCTCAATCTTCTCATTCTGAGCATGAGGATATTTGTAGGGTCGCACGCTGATGGGTGCTACCCCGGTCTTCAACACAATAGCATGCCCCCTGGATCTGATAGGTGGTAGTCCCTTGGGCATCTGAAACACGGTGGAGTGCTGCTGTAGAAGGTCCTGGACCACCTCAAGTATGACTCCTGGCTCTCTTTCTGCCTCCCTACCCACTTGCTGTAGCTCTATCAAATAGCCCTCTCCCTCCTCTCTCAAAGTCTTGAAGATGGACTTCAAGGCCACTCTGGCTCTGCATAAACTGAGGTCTCCCTATAGTGTCACTTTCCTGCTCCCCTTCCCATACTCCATGTATAACTTCTTCCAATTCACTTTCATCTCACCCAAGGATTGGAGCCACTGCATCCCCAGTATCACGTCGGTGCTTCCCAAGTCCAACAGTAGAAAGTCTTGCACTGTCTCCTCTCCTTGCAATGTAAGGGTCACTCCCTTACACTGCCCGCTACAGCGCTCCTTCCTCGTGCCCAAAATGACTCCTACACCTCTCCCTTGGGTCACCGGTAGCCCCACCCTCTCTACCAATCAGCAAGCTATGAAGTTGTGGGTGGCCCCACTATCAATCAGAACCATCACCTTGCACCCTGCAATCTCCCCTTCCAGCTTCATGGTGGAATGCGATGTCAGTCCTGCTATGGAGTTGAGTGAGACCTCCACCATAGCCAAAAGAGGGTGCTCTTCCTCCTCTCCATCCTCCTCAGTTGCCCCTGTGTCCCCTTCCTCCTCCTCTGAATCCCCCACTAAGATCATATGTAGTGTCTTTTCCTTACACCTATGTCCCGGTGTAAACTTCTCATCACATCGGTAGCAAAGGCCCTTGGCCCTTTTTTCCTTCAGCTCTGAATCAGTCAATCTTTTGAACCCTCCTTGGTTCACTGCCGTAGTGATTTTCTCCTTGGCTACCTCCCTAGGAGGAAGGATGGTAGTCGCCTTTGGGCCTCCAATCATGAGCGGTGGTCGGTAAGTGGGGTAAGACACACCTGATCTCCTTGGTGGCTCAACCTTCAGCTTGTCCTCTACAAGCTGTGCAGTCTCCATGATCTTCACTAACCCATGTGGATCAACTACTCTGATGGCGGCTCTGATGTGGGGCTTCAACCCCTTCATGAAATTACCCTCCAAAAGGTCATCTGGAATCCCTCTCAATCTGCCTGAGAGTAGCTCAAATTGCTCCCTATACTCTGCCACTGTGCCCTCCTGCACTAGAGACACAAATTGCTCATAGTGTGTACCCTCGCTGGACACCCGGAATCTGTGAAGTAGGAGGTCTTTGAACTCCTCCCAACTCCTAACATGTTGTCTTCCTTCAAGCCATTGAAACCAGGCCAATGACTTCCCCTCCAAACATACCGGAACCGCCATCAACTTCTCCTCTTCTGTGACGCCATTTACTGCAAAATAGCGCTCCACCCTGTAGATCCACCCATAAGCATCATCTCCTTCAAAAATAGGAAGCTTTAATTTCCTCATGCGGTTATCGGCTCGGTTGAAGGTTCTTCCATCTCCCCATGTCCCCTGAGTGAATCCCTCTCCCTGTGGTCTTCCCCTCCTCTCCCCCGGGTAAGGGATTTGGATCCCCCTCCATGGGGGTTCTCTTGGCTCTCCATAGCCCATGTCGTAATCTTCCCTTCTTCCTCCATAGCCTCCTCCCAAGTGCATCGTGGGTCCCCCTTGCTCCCATGTGGCACGGTTCCCTTCCGGAAATACCCCTACCTGATTTGGCCCCCCCTCACGTGTGCCGTGGGGGCCCACCGAGCCCATGTATGGCCGGCCCCCCTTCCTTTGACCATTGCCCCAGCATGCCCTCTTCACTTTGGATCACTCCCTCTTCTCTAATTGGAAAATTAGGGTTAGGGTTAGGGTTTGGCACCGGCGATTTCCCTTTTTCCTTAGAATTTCATTGAACAACTTGAGCTTCTACCAATTTATGGATCATCTCTTCCATTACTCCAAACCTCTCCTCTAGGGTTGAGAATTTTTCCTCCATCGACGAAAGTTTCTCACCCACTTCCTCCTTCAATTGGCCCATCTCCCCCTCCAAAACTTCTACCTTCCGCTCCCCCCCCCTTTCAGCCGTTTGATCAAAAGGTGGGCCCAAGGGGCCCACCGTGGCTTCCCCCTACTCCCCTCGGGTTCGCCAGCCCTCTCTCTCCGGCTGTAGACCCGCCCAGGTCTGGGCGGATGGACCGGGTGAACCGGTCCATCAATAGCCGGTCCATCAAAACCCCGAGATCCTCTCTCCCACTAGATCTCTCCTTCTCCCATGAATTCTTTGTTCGTTGGAAGGAACCACACGCAAGATGTAATAGCCCGTATTTTGAACCAGACAAATAAATTTTTTCAAGAGTCATTGCAAGTCCAAATCACAAACCATTTTCTCCATAATATAGATATTGTAGTGATTTATTTACATTATGTTTTTTTCATAATTTTTTGGCACTAGTGCAAATCTTTAAGAAATTGACACTTGTTGATGCAAGTGAGATTTATAAATTGATTTCACCAGAATTTTCTAATAAAATATGTTGTCTTATGAATATTTTAAATTTTATGATCATTTTCTTCTAAAATATATAAGTATTTTAGGAGTATATACAACAAGAGAATATTATGAAGACATAAAGGCAATTTAAAACTACAGCTAGATTGACTGTCATATGAATTTAGAATTGGAAGAAAAAGTCATCACAACAAAATTGTATAACCGAGATCAAAATATTAAATTTTTGTGTAATAAAGCTTGCAAGGAGAGAAACGTGACAAGAATAATATCTATTGAAAATATAATTATGAAAAATAAACTCTAATTATTTGACCAGGTACAACAAACAACCAAAGATGCATCACTAAGGTGGGTAAGAATTAATGTGAAACAACTATGAAAGAAAATGGTAGTTAAAAAATAATATAGCTAGAAGTAATGCCACAAGACATGCACAAATTAGGATTTTTTTTTTATTGGCACATATTAGAGTAGGTACCTCATATTATTCAACGAGAATAAATGGAGGAGGATTTATAAATTGGAACAAAATAGTTAGACAAGGCTAATGATAATATTATGATGATGTTCCATAGTAAGCTACAAACAGTGTGAATAATTAGCTTATTTATATTAGTAAGCAAATCAATCTGAACCAATATCTGGTCAACTAAATGGGCTAAACACTTTCCCAATCTAAACCACATGATAAATTCCAATTTAGTTTAAGTGCAGATCAAATTAAAAATAGCCAGCTCCAACGTTCAAAAGTAGTAGAATTTTGGTTCCTGGATTGGGAAGAACTTAAACCAAGTCCACCAGATTACACGCTCGCAGAAAAAAAAGGAAAGTATATTGAACAGTTCTGGGTTATGTTTTCTCTCCAAACTTACATTTAAAATCCATTTCAAAACGCTCAAGGGTTCAGGAGAAGAGCTAAGATAAGCTTCACCATTTGCCAACTTGCATTAAGAGAATAATAGTACAATGTTGATGTGAAGAATTGGCAGGTAACCCGACTTATATAGCCGGCCCAGTTATGATGTGGCTCTTGGAGTACATTTTGGGAAACTAAAAAGAGGCATTAGATGCATATAACATGCTTCATGTCTAGCTAACACTACAAGGAAATTTAACCACTACAATGTGGCATTAGCTATTGATTCTAGTCAAGACCATAATAAAAAAGATATTCCATTTTCTCTTTCAATGTGAGGTTAAAAGGACTCAGAGTGGGGATAGCGTGGATTTCTAAAAGTCTTAGAGGTTCAAGCAGGCATTTATCAGATGTTGCTTAGTTAGTTTTCTGGATGATACAGGGCTAGTGGTCTAGATGATACAGGGATTATGATGAAAACGTGTGTTGTGAAGTATTCAATAAGGCGATTATCAAGATAACAATGGAGTAAGTCAGGAGTCTTGTTAGGGATACAAAATTACAAATCTCATGCTTGCCTGGTTAAGTTCCAAATTCAATTGATCGAAAATCAATGCCTTGATAGGAAATACTTCGGTTCGCAAGTAAACCTAACCGAAATCAATACCAAAACAAGAGAAAACTGCTGTTTTCAGAAGAAAAACAGCAAATCGCAGCAGTTTTAGTGGAGAAAACTCAAGGAAAATGGAGAAAAACAATATATTTCACTAGTAGATTCAAGAACACAAACAAAGATACAATTTCCTTCAATCCGAGAGGAAGGAATGACTCTCCAAAAAAAAAAGTGCTGTGATCGCCAAATCTTGAAATTACATAAACATGCTTGATATATTTAGCATGTAATAAAAGTTCAACTCAATGCATGAGGCTCTCGGGAATGCAGGATCTAGGAAGAGGATGAAGTATGTAGCCTTACAATAGTAATGCAATATTGTTTCAGGGATCCGAGCCCACAACCTTTTAGGTAACAATGAAAACAAAACCTAATAATTGCTCCAAGCACAAAATCTAATTCAACAGCAAGAAGTTTTAGTAAACATAGAATAGAACCACAAGGATGTCTCTCAACTGAGTTACTCAAGTGTGTTCCTTCATCATATACATGAAAATTGTGCTCTTTTAAACATCATTTTGTCCATCGGTTCATATGGTAGAAAGCATTTTAACTAAAACCAATATATGTGGTTACTGACCTGTTTGAGCTTATATTTTATATCTTCAGCGGAAGTTAGATGGCATAAGGCATAGAAAGTTCGAAGAATACTTCGTTGTATGCTTGGACCTGTCAAGTTAACTAAAGAGAATAGCGAGAATATGTCGTCATCAGATTTCAGAAGTATTAAAGATTCATCATCTTTCAGATCAACTGCCGATGAAATAATGTTCATAATCGTAGTGGCCGCAAGTTCACTTAATATATGATATGCAGTATAGTGGTGATGACGTAAAAGGTCAATAAGTGGAGATAGTGCTCCTTCGCTAATCATTTTCACACCATTTTCAGGTAAGCTTGAAAGACTTTGAAGTGATTTAACAGCCATTGTTTTGATATCTGGATCACTATGTTTAACCAGATGAAGAAGGGCGTCCAGTGCACCATCTCTTAATAGAGCTGCTTTACTTTGGTCAGGCAGCTCAATTTCAGCTAAGGTCGTCACCATGATCTTCTTCACATCGTCATTTCCTAAAAGTATCCAAACGAATATATAAGATCTGGTTATTTTGTAGAAATGAATATGTAGGAAATAATGTGATTTGCTGAGCGACAGATGAATTTTCATAAATTGAGAGTTAGAAAATTATGCACTTGTATGAACCGCAGAATTTTGGGCTGTCACACATAATTGAAGAAACAATAATTTTTATGTAAAAAACTCCAAAAGGGAAACAAAAAGGATCTAAATCATCTAATCCTCTTGTAAAAATCCAATAGTTGTGAGAACAAATAGAGTTGGTCCAACTGCAAGCAATTGAAGAGTAGTTTATATTAAGTTACCATCGCAGCCATCAAAATAGAGATGCTGGTGGCACTGATAATCCTGGCAATGAACGTCAACAACAGGTGTCGTACAGGTAGGTCATGACATCGTTGCTAACTTCTATAGGCAACATTAGTATGAATGGCGATGTCTCAAGGTGGTATCAACCCGAGTAGGAATGTCCCTAAAGACAACAATGAATTTGGGTGGTGATTTCAGACGAACCAACAACAGACATGGGCATGGGATTTGGATGTTACATAAGAACAATAGCTCCTTTGAATTTTGTAGGCCAAATAACAATGTCTTGCAATTTGCGGCTATTGGCAGTAGACTTGGGGCATACATTACCATAAGATTTGGTGGATGGTTTGGGAAATGACTCTGTTAGGCCGGTTAATCATGAACCGGCACAGCCGGCTGACTCAGCTTGTCTACAGGAGGCGCAAACAGTCTGCCTCCCTTGATGTTTTCCACCCAAAGGATGGGCCCCACTTGCCCAATTGATTTCAATTTGAAAAGGAGGGGAGGGCTAGGGCCCGGGAGGGAAATTAGATTATAAAAGCTTTTGTATTAAAGAGGATGAGAGGATTAGGGAAGATTATATTTTAATTGATTGGAATTAGGGTTTCTTAGCGACATGGGCTCTAGACTCTCTTGTCTAGAGATTGGGAGAGACGACCTCTTTCTTCCCTCTGAACAGGATCCATATAGGGTCTTCTTTTTTCTCCTTCCATGATTTCCACCTTATCTTCCACCCTACGAATGTAAGAATTCGTCTTTGCCCTTCCACCCCCTTTGATTTTCTTCATCATGTCCCAGAAAACATCAAGGGAGGCAGACTGTTTCCGCCTCCTGTAGATAAGCTGAGTTGGCCCTTGGGCCGGTTCAGGGTGAGCCGGCCTAACAATACCGCCCTCCAAAAGAATCACCTTGTCCTCAACGTGAAAACCAGGAAACTGATGTTTCACCCTCTCGTATGGCTCCCACGTGGCCTCGTAATCATGAAGGTTTTTCCACTTGATCAATACTTAGTTCCATCTTCTTTATGGCGAACCCCCATTAGCTCTAAGGGCTTCAGAACCACCTCTAAATCCTCAATAAGTGTCGCCGGTAACTCGAGGTTGGAAATATAGTCACCAATGGCCTTTCTCAACTGCGATACATGAAAAATCGGATGTATAGTCGCCGTTGGTGGGTATGGGGAACGCCAAGAGGGATATTATAGTCGCCGAGGTGCTGATTTTGATGAAAGAATGGGGGAATTCGAATGGGGTTTGGACTATGACAGGGTAAGGGAAAACCATGAGACATTGGGAGGGCCTAGCGCTTAGGAGAGAGGAAGCTATGAAAGAATAAGGGGGAATGATGGCGATCATAAGGTTAGGAAGTTGAAGATGCCCATATTTGAAGGAGAATATATGTATGAGTGGATTTTTAAGGTGGAGCGATACTTCGCCGTCAATGGACTGACGAGGGAGGAGAAGCTAACAGCGGCATACTTGTGCTTGGAAGGAAAAGCTCTATCTTGGTATCATTGGAGAGATCAGAGGAGACCTATTAGAAACTGGAGGGAATTCAATGACTGCATAATAGAACGTTTCCAAACCGACCAGGTAGGAGATTTCTATGAGCAGTTATTTGCTTTGACGCATGAGGGATCAGTAGTAGATTATCAAGAGCGATTTGAGCACCTAGCCAGTAGGCTGGAGCAATTATCAGATACAATATTGGAGATGAATTTCATGAAAGGGTTGAAGGCAGAGGTCCGAGCATCAGTGAATGTTCTAATGCCCCGTGACTTGGGGGAGGCCATGAAGTTGACCCAGCTGGTTGAAAATCAGAGAAATCTGGAGAAGGGAGCCAGGAGTAGCAGCACAGGTGGCACTTACAGGATGAAGACTACTCATCTAGCACCTAAAGGTCCTGCAATAGGAGGTACTCGGGAGGCCACCAAGGAGAAGACAGTAGGAGGAGGGAGTGGGGGAAATTTCAAGCAGCTGATAGAAAAAGAGATGAAGAGAAGAGGGCTAAGGGGTTGTGCTCCATGTGCGATGAAAAGTATTCGCCTGGGTATCGGTGCAAGGACCGAACTCTTCGGGTTCTCACCATCTGTGATGACGAGGAACTGATGAGAGAGGTAAGGAGGAGACAAAGGAGGAGATGGAGGATAAGCTGCATTTGGATCTAGATGAGGTTTCCCTGAACTCAGTGGTAGGATTCATTACGAATCATACCATGAAAGTGAAGGGGGAGATAGAGAACAAGGAGGTGGAGGTGTTGATTGATAGTGGGGTTACTCATAATTTCATTTCTACTCAGGTCGTTGACCAAATGGGAGTGAGATTGGTGGATACATGTTGTTACGGGGTGATGATGGGTACGGGGAAGATGGAGAAAGGCCAAGGGATTTGTAGATGAGTGCTATTGACTATCCATGGGATTCAGGTGGGGGGAGATTTTCTTCCACTAGAGCTTGGGAGTACAGATGTTATCCTGGGAATGAAATGGCTACAGACTTTGGGAGACACCAAAGTGAATTGGGGAGCACTCACGATAGAGTTGATGGTAGATGAAAGGAATGTGGTAATTAAGGGAGATGCAGGGTTATGCAAATTTATTGTTTCTCTTAAAACTATGGTGAGGGATATACAGTTGGCAGGCGGAGGATATTTGATGGAGCTGCACAGTTTGGAGGGGGTTAGATTGGAAGAGGGATGGGACATACCCCTCTCTATACAGTCGTTGATTCAGCAGTTCCAAGAGGTGTTTCAACCACCTCAGGGATTGCCACTGCAGAGGGAGCAGGAGCACGCCATCATTTTGAGGGAAGGTGTGTCACCCATCAGCGAATGGCCTTATCGCTACTCCCAATTTCAGAAAGATAAAATTAAAAAGTTGATTAGAGAGATGCTAGAGGCAAGAATCATCAGACCAAGCCTTAGTCCTTTCTCTAGTCCAGTTCTATTGGTGAAGAAAAAAGACGACAGCTGACGATTTTGTGTGGACTACAGGGCGCTAGTGACTAGTAATATTGTTATGCTAAAATGAGTATAATGTATAAGAGCATGTAAACGACAAATTAGCATAAGGCGTCATGATTCTTGTTACAGATTGGAACGAAGTGACTAGTAATATTGTTATGCTAAAATGAGTTGATCATATAAAGGGTCTTTGATTTCATTATTATAATGCATAAGAGCATGATCCAATCTAGAGAAATGAGCAAATCAATGACCTACATGTATCATTGAAGCAATTCAAAGACATGCATTATTACTTACAAAAAAAAAAAAACTTTTTATCCTAATGAGGTAGATGTTAAAACCGTTATTATTGGTCCTTAGACTAGATGAGAAAAGTTGAGTTTATTTCAGATCGACAATCAATCATTTATGTTCAAACTAAGAATGTAGACCCCAAATAGTTGGGATAAAGCTAATAATCAAGACGAACGTAAAGAGCTCTCTTAATTTATTTAAAATTTTTATTTGTTGGTGGATAACATTTTGCAACACCAAACTTGCCCTTTCTCTCACACTATGTGCTAAAAAAAATTAAAAATATTGAGAGAGAGCGGGAGGGGGGAAGAATGAGATAGTGGGGGAGGGGGATGAGATAGAAATAACCTAGCATGCCATTATGAAATTTCACAATAGACCCTTCTATTGAAACAATCTTGTGACAAAGGATGGTCAAAACAAGGTAGAAGATTAAACCAAATTTTCTACCTTAAAGAAGAAAATGTCAAAGTCTCCCATAAAGTTTCCATGATGGGAAGAAGCCTAGTTTTGTTTGAGATAATTAGCAGTAGAAGAAAACCGGCAAGGGCTGATGAAATGCATAAATTATCTCCATATATGAGAACTAGCTTGAGTGCTCAATGATAACATGTCCATGGGATAACTACATGCTGAACAAGGCTAAAAAATCACTTATGAGGAAATAAATGTCGAAGTTCCCTTCTGGTGCAGACGCACACAATAACCTGCAAAACTCAAACAACCTAGGCTAAAAGGAGAAACTCAATGGAACAGTGGAAGACTCGTCTTCTATTTCTTCTATGTATCTTTTTCTGCCTTTCTCTATACTTCTTTGAGATACATATACTATACCGGTTCATACCAAATACCGGTTTAGACTAAGCAGTAATAAAAGTCGTATATATATAAAGCAGCTAAAAAATAGAAACGTTAAAACGATAGTGGAACGTGGCACCTGCAGCCATGTGCACCGTTATATGAAGGTGGCCCTGATATGGGGTTATGGGACCGCATCACCTTCACATGATACCCGACTAGATTTCTATAAATTTTAGAGTTTGCAAGGGGCAATGCGCATAGCAGAGAGGGGATACCAAGCACAAACGCTCAATGGTTGATTTAAAGCCTCTTATATCCCCACTCACTCCTTGTACGCCTATCAATCTAATTTTAGTATTGCATGCTAAAGTATCAATTCAACTAAGGAAAAACTACATATAAATTTAAGGTACAAGGCAAAAAATCAAGTCTTTATCAAATTGACACACCCGAGAATATAAATTGATAAAATATTAAAGCTAAAAAGGTTGAACATTAAATGCTGAAGTGAGATAGAACATGATAAAGAACCTGATCCAAGACATCGCAATAGTGGCTTAAAATAGTTTGCCTTTGCCATTTTCACAACATTTTCATCGAGGTAAGAAAGGTTCTCCAATAGTTGTGTCGCATCAGTTGCAGCCTGATTACCATCATTTGTAGTAGTCACCAAAAGAAAAATGCAGCCACGGGCCTTGCCAATCTTATTGCGAATCAGCTCAGTTCTTGACAACTCCAGCAAAAGTGCCACGGCCAATTTACGTTCCTCACTACGTCTTCCAAGAGACATTACAACAAATTCAATCAGCTTATCGATACAGGCAAGTTGCTCCTGCTAAAGGAAGCAGATTTAATCAGTGGGAACACTGTATGTTTATGCCCAAAATAAAATAATTGCAGCACCGTTGCTAAAGCAAGCAGATTTGTAACACTCAAACCAACAACAAATCTCCATTGGAAAAATTGACATAATGTACTTTTTTTTTTTTGACAAACAATCACATACCTAGCCTTCTCTTCTTTGAAGATCAAAGGCAACACTGCTCATCAAAAAGTCCAATGTCAATTGAATTAACAATGTAGGAGATAATAGATAATCTCGTCAGAGATCACACAATAACACTCAAACCAATAACAAGTATCAATTGGCAAAATTGGGCATAAACATAAGATACTTAAAAAATTTTATTGACAAAAAATCATATACCTTTGTATCATCACTGTCCTTAGCTAGGATATATAGCACAAACAGAGCGCGACACCTGATCTCCAAACTCTTTCTTTCAAGCAAACCAACAAGAACAGGCAGATAGTTCTCAAAAACAATCCAATCACGATGACAGTCCTCTTTGCAGAACTCCTCCAGCCGGTCAAGAGAATGAAGCACCTCTTGCTCAGCATTAGATTCAAACTTAGTTTTGAGGTTGGCAATGGTGATGATTCTGTTTCTTTCCCTCCACTCTTCAATGGATTTCTTCAGAGTATAGTTGGGCCGCAGATCGCCAACACTCAAGGGCGTCATCGTCAAAGGACAAGTACAATTTCCCTCCGCAAACCACTTCTCAATGGCGCTCTTCTCAAAGGTGTGCCCGAAAGATGTCTCCACTGGGTCATCCATGACATCCCCAGTGATGGGGCAAAGAAAGGGCTGGAGTGGCGGCAAAGGCTGATTTCCCAAACGATTTCGTTTGCTAAGATACCTCTCCTCCCTCTCCCGAAATGATGAGACCGCATCCGAGATTGAGAGGAAGGAGACAATCTGATCCATCTGTACGGCTTCAGCAAGGTCTTTTCTCTCGCGGGACTCGGCGACCTCGGCCCGCAGCTTGTCAAGTTCTACTCTAAGCGTAAGCGGGTCGGGGGAAACGCCAGCGACGTCAGCAACGAGCCTAAGGATGTGATTAGCATAGGCACGGTCCGAGGCCTGGTCGCAGACCGCGGACTCAATCTTGTCCAGGACCTCCTCGACAGCGGAGGAAGCACGGAACTCAACTGCGACAAGGCGGTCTCGGATCGCCTCAACCTTGTCTAGCGCCGAGGAGGAGAAGGGGAGGAGAGATAAGGCGACGTAGAAGTCTCGGGTGGCGCAAGAAAGGCGGCGGGAGGTCTGGCGGGAGCTGATGACGACATATAAACGACTACGGCGGGAGCTTTCGAAGTCAATGGAGCTCGAAGCAGCGGAGGCAGCTACCTCGGCGGCTTCAGAGAGGGCGTCCAGTGCGGTGGCGATGGTTGATATGGAGGAGGAATGAAGGTTATCCTCCAGTTCGCGAAGGACAGGAAGCGTGTGGAGGAGGCAGGAGGAAAGCTCGGTGAAGGCGTGGCGGTCGATGAGGACGTCCGAGTTGGAGGCGATGGCGCGAGCAGCGCGGCAGATGAGGTAGGAGGCGGCGGTTAAGGAATCGTCGGAGGGGTCTTCTTCGGTCATCGTCCCCCGCCAGCAGTGGAGACTCAGACAAGAATGGCGCTTGCTTATATATATATATATATATATATAATAAAAGTGAATTTTTCATAAAAATTTTGGAAATACAGCATAACATAGTGCTTGCTTAATATTTTTAAGAGGGCTCTCCCATTTGCTAATTAAAGAGAAGAGAGACATTCCTTATATAATTGTCATGAGTGTTATTAAGCATAATAATATTTTTTGGCATATCAAAAATAAATTACTTTGATTATAAAAATTTAAGGAATAATGTCAACATCATTTGTAGTTCACTTTATGATGACACTTATCGTCATGACTATTTTAGTAAATAATAATAATCGGCTACTATAACTAATGAATTTATTCCTATGCTCATTCCTATAACTTGATATGAGTCGACAACTATCTAGTTTGATGTTGCGTATTGATGGTGAATTGAAAATATCATATGAAATGGTGCCAACATATGTTGTTGGTCAGAATAAACCACTAAGAATTTTCCAAGATCATTTAAACTGTTATGGAGCGCAATACTTCATACTTCATTACTGATTATGTTAGAAACACCGTCAATTTGATTTATCATTATCCCGTTCAGGAAAAAATTATGTTGAACTAAGTAATGATGATGAATTTATGAATATAATTTTAGAACGCACTTGTTGCGTGCTAGAATATACACGGCGGTAGAGTTAGAAAATATTCTTCTTAGGGTTGCACGAGTATTCAGCACACAAACCAAAAAAGAAAATGAACACTAGAGTTTTTACGTGGAAAACTCAAAAAGGGAAAAAACCACGGGGTCTCGCCCAGTTGTAAAATTCCTCTAGTGTTTTTGTAAATTACAAGAAACTGATTCGTCCCACAAATCGGGACGATTAGATTACAACTTGAAGCAAATTTACAAAGTTTTGCAGAATCCCGTCGTTTCCCGAAAATCCGGCAGAGTTTCGGCGTATTCAGGCGACGGGAAGAGCTCCGGCGGTGGTCGAGGAGGAGAGGATTTGCCTTTTCCCCTTTTCCTTCTTTTTCTCTTCTTCTTCTCCCTCTTCACTTGAGTCCCCCTTGTGAAGAATGAGGGCTCTATTTATAATTTTTTTGGAGTGGCATGGCTCGTAAATAGGTGTAAGATCATGGGCGAATAGGGAGTGGTTTGAATGGACGGCCGATATTGAACCCTTTGATCGTGCACTGTTCGTTGGACATTTGGAGACCTTAATGATGTCGGAATTTAGCGATCTTAGGCTCGTTGGATTTGTCTCGTCGAGACGCTCAATTCGAGTATAAGCTCATTAAAATCAGAGACCGTTTGGTAACTTAAATTGCGGTTTGAACCTTCCAACAGCGCTTCGGGTCCTTGATTCGGACTCATTTGGGCTCGGATTGGGTTGAACTTGGTGTCGTTGGGTTCGTATTTCCGAGATGCTCAGTTTGACTATAGACTCGCTGAAATCGGAGTCCTGGTGCTTTTGGATTTAATTTTTGAAGTTTCCAACTAGTTTTTTGCCTCGAGATTCGTGCCCGATCAAGATAAATTTGTGACGCCGTATCAGTACTCATAACTAAACCATAGTGATTTATGTCAAAGTGGATCAATTAAATGGCATGGAGCATACTAAGATTTGCACTACATACCAACCATTGAGTAGAAGATATATTTAAGGCATTCGACTTATTTGCATCAACTCAAGACAACCTACACCCACAATCAACAACAACAACAACAACATCAAGCCTTTATCCCACTACGTGGGGTCGGCTACATGAATCCTTTTTCTCCATTGTGTCATATTAAAAGTCAAATTCTCGTTTAAATCTAATAAAGAAAGGTCATTCCTAATATTTTCTAACCAAGTCTTTTTAGGTCTACCCCTACCTTTCTTAACATAAGTCAAATCTAATACCTCTACTCTCCTAACCGGGTCATCGCAAGGCCGCCGTTTTATGTGACCAAATCATCTAAGGCGACTTTCTCTAATCTTATCTTCTACTTGAGCTACTCCAACCTTTTCACGTATATGCTCATTTCATATCCTATCTCTAAGGGTAAAGCCACTCATCCACCTGAGCATCCTCATCTCTGCCACACTTAACTTAGTATTATGCTTCTCTTTTAAAGGCCAACATTCGGCACCATAAAGCATTGCAGGCCTCACTACCATCTTATAGAATTTTCCCTTAAGTTTGAGGGGTACATTTCTATCACATAGCAAGCCCGATGCATTCCTCCACTTCAACCATCCAACTTGAATTCTGCTGATAATATCCCCATCTATTTCACCATCACTCTGAACAATAGATCCAAGATATCTAAAACGTGTAATCTTATTAATGACTTGATCGCCCAAAGTCACAATCCCCTCACTAGGTCTATTAATACTAAAATTACACTCCATATATTCCGTTTTAGATCTACTCAAGCGAAAACCTTTAGACTCTAAGGTTGACCTCCACAATCAAATTTTAAAAAAATTATATTTATCATTTTAAGATACCATAACTTTTATAAATCATAAATATAAACAATAATCAATACAAGCAACTAAAATCATATACATCAATATACTTTACTATTTATTCACCCAAAATATCATTTACACTAGTCAAGAGATCACTATAATCACTAATATATCACAAATTCTTGACTACAAAAGAATAAAAGAAAATATGTAATAAAATCTAAAGAAAACTTGAAGATCTCTATCAACCTCACTCCAACTGGTACTGACCACCTTCTTTGACCTGAAATCATTAAAATTCACATAATGAGCTCAAAAGCCTAGTAGTAATCCAAAACTCACTAAAATTTTTAATGTAATGACTAAATAATCAATATGATATGCTCTGTATAATATAATCAATAGCATTCAATATAGTTAATGATCAAATATTATCAATAAAATTCAAAATGTTCAAAAATAAAAGTAGGGAATCATTATAATGAATCTAAAAATCAATTATTTGTATAAAATTTAATAATTCGGTAAAATAACGATGCAGAAATCATTCAGAAATCATTAAAATATATATATTATTTATTCATATACCTCATATATTTATATATTACCAATGCATTCAATACTATCAATAATATTAATATATTTGTCAATTCCATCAGTGCTATCAATGTATGCATGCATCAATCTATGATTCAGCAATACAGGACATCCAACTTTAACGTGGTGTTTTCAACATCTTTTACCCCAACTGATTCCTAGTTGGTTATCAGTCATATCAATTAATACTTATTCAATTAATCAATTCTCATTACATGTGACTTGATTAAATCAATAAAGAGTCGTCACTCTCTGTCTGTCGACGTAATGAATCATTTATTACATCAACCGGGATAACACCACAAACTATCTTTAAAGGAAAATTCATCAGTCCACCCTCTTATGCAGGGCATTATGATTTAACAGCCAACCCATTTTATAGTATTAATAGTCAGTCTTTCTTGCTTATGCAAATGTTACAATCAAAATGCAGTAGAAAATAATCAATTCTGATCAATAAAAAAAAATCTATATAATAATCAAAATTATTGAAAACTAAAATAAGAAAATGAGATTTGAGTTACTTACAACAAATAAAAAAATCTCTAAACAAAATTGATGGGTGAAAAAGCCTCGAACAACCTTCTCTCTCTTTCATCTCTCTTCGGCAAGGCACGACGCTGAAATTTAGATTTTTCATTTTAAAAATTTATTTGAAAAAAAATTGGATTATTACATTCGTCTGCTAACACTAGCAACCTATTGAAAATAAAATAAAAATTGATTATATTCATAAATGGTTGTAGAGTTGGATGATTATCCAACACTCATTGGTCCATAGTGCTAAGTGAGTTATAAGGGACACACAGAGCAGCACATCCAAAGAAGGTACTAAACTCTACTTAATTTTTTGTTTGCCACATCATTTGAATGTTAAGCTTTAAATACAATGTTCTATATTTATGCTAAGGTACTATTATGGATGTTACTTCATATTTGCTCATGGAAAAGGAGTGGCATACTACTTGCCCTTTGTTCATAGCAACCCTTTAGGAAGATGTTATGGATCACATTAGGCACTTACATTATATTAGGTTAGAACATCATTTGCTTACCACACTGACAAAGTGTTGGTCTCTAATGGGAATTTTTTCATCAATGATTTAAAATATTTTGTGATTGAGTACAATATAGAAAAAATATACTATTTAAAAGATAAAGATACTAATTCACTATGGACTAAATAATAAAAATCAATTTTGAACATTTCATATTTCCAGAGACTTTCTCTAATATAAAATATTTGATTGAATATGATTTATTTTATTTTGGCATGCATGTTTCTCATAAGAATTATATAACACCTTAAGTAAAAAAGAAGCTAAACTCTTAAACATTAAGATGTCTTCTAGTGTAATGATTGAAATTTTCTTAAAAAACTCTATAATTAAGCATGCTTGTGCTAAAGCAAAAACTGGGATGGGTGACCCCTTAAGAAATTATACCAACGGAAGAAAATCATGAGATCATTAGATCAAAATAGACAATATCTCAATAATTAAAAGCTTGGTTTATTACAAAGTATTATTAGAGTAATACACCAGTAGAAGAAGAGAACTAAGTAACATACATGACAAAGTGCTATGCTATAGAGGTCAGCTCTTGAATCCTATATGAGATAAAGTCCTATATGGTGAGAGCTATTACTTGAACTTGTAGGGGTCACCTCTAGAATCTTATATGTCTAGTTGGTGATTATGAGATAATGATACTGATGATGATATCCATTATTTAATTGGGAGAAATTGTGAAACTCATTACGTAAAAAAAGGCTAAACTCTTAAACGTTAAGATATTTTTTGGTGTAATGGTTGTAATTTTGTCAAGAAAATTCATAGTTAAGTTTGATCATGTTAGGGAAATACTGGGATGGGTGATCTCCTTGGAAGTTCTACTACTGGGATAAAATCGTGAGACCATTAAGCCAAAGTAGATAATACCTTGACAGCTAAGAGTTTGGGCAGTTATAAGGACAAATTTCTATGGTTAATTACATCCCAAAAGTGTTTGGCCTTTGAGAAAATTTTTGATTAAAACAAAAATATACATTCTCTTGATCAAAATATTAGTTGACTTAATTTTAAATGTTTTAATTTAAATGTTTTGAGATTAAAATTTAAAGGATGATTGGATCAACTTTAGAATTATTTATATAAGAAGAACAAGAGATGAAAGGTAGAAGTATTTGATTATGAGAAACTCAGAGGTACTCAAAACTATTAAATATTAAGCTTTATGTTTTAAGATTGAATTTATATTAAAGTTGAACCATCTTATTTAAAAGATTGAATCTTAAATTTCAATAACATCATATTAAAAAAAAGCTCAGGAATGTGAGGACTTATATAATAACTAAGAAGAACATCAACCTTAAGTATTGAGAATCATTGATGAGGTAGTAACTTCAACCTAAATTTAACAAATACATAGGATTTACCAACATGAAAACTCAAAAGAGTTTAAGTTAGCTTGACCCTTGGTCTTACAATCATGCTTAGAAATGCTAGCCATCTAAATCCACCTAAGCACTTATAGTCTTGGTCTCATGGCATACGTCCGATATATTATGCTATTTTAATTTTAGAAAAGTAAACTTACAACTTAGGCTTCGTTTGGGACGACTTTCTTATTACTTCTCAAAGCAATTTTTTAGTATAAATTTTTTTCTTTTTTAACCAAAAAACCGCTTTAGGAAGCAGCAAAAAAGTTATCCCAAACGAAGCCTTAGTCACTTAAAAACTAAAATATCTAATCACGAGAGGTATGTTTGTTAATTTATTAATATAAATTATTTTTAGTTATCTAATCCTTAATATGAGAATTTTTATTCCTATGGATGACTCTTAAGGCCATATAAATGATATTCATAAGTAAAAAATACAATTGATACATGATTTGATTGGCATAACCTTATAGATAAACAATTAGTTAAATATTGAAGTTCTTATATATAAACAATTAAATTTATTTTATATCATATACAAGTTTATATGAAAAATTTGCACTTTAATTGATTTTAATATTATTTATGTTTGAAAGGGTAAAAAATTTACCCCTAAGATCCTATTGCCTAGCAAGTTCAAGCTACACCCAAGCAAAATTTATGAAGAAATCTATGAAAAAGCATACAATTTCTTGTAACCTTCTCATCAACTACAAGGAGAACGAAGCAAAACTAATCTTTGCCCACCGATGCTTAATTCGGTTGGTGGGCGTGCTCGGTTGGGAACCTCCCATCCCGAGTTCGATTCACTCGAGCGGCAGTCGGCCCTTAAGTGGGGGCTCCAAAGTGCCGGCTATGGATTTGTGGCCTGGGTGACCCATTATGTCGGCCGGGGTTTACGGACCGCCAAGCTTGCTCGACGAAGTCGGGTGTGGCAGCAGACGGTTCCTGGTCATAAAAATAAAAATAAAAAAGCAAAGCTAATATACAAGAAATCCCATAAAAAGTATATCGTTGTCCATGTTGTCGGCCAACAAACCAGCGTAACTAATATGGAAGAAGAGACGCACCTTTCCCTGTTGTTGAAAGCTTAAGCTTCCAACTAAGAAGTTTTGAGTTCAAATATTTGTGTATGTGTTGTGTGTGTGAGTTTATCTTAAATGACCTAAATGTCCCTATATATATATATATATATGAAAGAAGAGCAGGGCCCAACTAGTCCTAATTTGCATGAATATTGATGAAAGTGTTCATTACAAATGCATCCGGTGGCGCCTGCCAGATCAATCAACACTATCTACTCCTCCATGGGGAAAGGACTCAAAAGCCTCATCTTGAAGCAAAAATCTAAGGCAATTGCTGCAGCTACAAATATGATGATATTCTCTGACACAGACACCGCGCCATCAATACAATGCGAGACAAAACTGGCCAGATTTAGCTCCACAGGCTTTCCAGATTCTATTTCAGCAAGTCCTGCAAAATTGGACAAAAAGATTTAGTATTTTTAAATTTTGAAGTAAAAAGTTGTTTTAAGAAGCAGTAAAAAAATCGTCTCAAACGAAGCCTTACTCGTCAATTAAAACCGCCGTCACAGATTTTAAAACAAAAGGAGTAGCAAAGAAAGTAAATAAAGGCACCTTTGATAATGCCAAAAGCAGCAGAGGTTCCTGTTTTGAGCTGGAAGTTATCTATATCTCTTCTTATCGTGTAACGAAAAGTAACCCCAAACAAAGCAGTTCCAATAAAAATGATTGTTGTGTGAAGGGAAAATACAGTAAAGTTAGTAGCTTGATAGAGAGAAAGAGGCAAGCTTGCCAGAGTGCCAACTATGGATGATATTGAAGCTGCTTTGATGGACTCTAATCTCTCAATCTCTTTGCTTGTCGCTTTCTTTCGAGGCAACTCTGAGCTTTCGAATGAAAGATGACGCTCTGACTCTTCAACCATCCCTCTAGCTTTCAACAATTCCTTCTGGGTGACTGCAATCTTGAAAAAAAAGAACATAATATAAAATCAAAATTATAGATTACATTGAAAATTGGTTGAAAAGTTCTATTTTGGTGAGTTTTAAAAAGAAAAATTATGATTTTCATCATTTTAACCTGCCCATAAATCCTCAACAGTATCTATTTAATCATTGAAAACTAAATTTGTCAACATGCATATATTCAGATTCTTTGTTTCCTGTTATACATAGTCGATGATTTCATCATTTGCTATCACTAAAGTTTCAGAACATGTTGAAGTTCAAAATCATAATGGTACAACTCACTAACATCCACATGATTCCCTCAATATTCCTTAAGGCAAAAAAAAATTGCTCTTTTTTGTAATTCAATGTAGTCGTTATGCTAAAACCATAGATAAAAGGCCAGAATCTGTATCTAAGGACTTCAATCAAGGCCATGAACTAAAAAAACTGAGCGTAATGAACATAGCCCAAGCCATGGTTAGGAACTAAAAAATGTTGAGCATTGATTTTGATATTAATGTGAAGTAATCTCTAAGCTCTAACCATCATTAAATTCCAGGTGATGATGATATTTGTATCAACGAATAGTTCTTATTTCCAATAGCAAATTCAAGTTGTGAAAATGCAATTTAAATAGTCAGTTTGGGATGGCTTTAGCTGTTTATAAAGATGATTGTAAAGCTGCTATGGAGAAAATAATTTTTTTGAAAGTTGTTGTAAAAAGCACAAATAAAAACTATGATTGCAATATGAAAAGCAAAACTGTAAGAAAACTATCCCAAAAGAAGCCTAAGTTTTGATGATAATCATGAAATAATACCATAGCAACAACTTGATCCAAAAAAGTATTCATAAAAGATCATTTATGGCTACTGGTGGATAGCTTGCAAAATTTAAGCAACAAATTAGAAAACATAAAAGAAAAATTTGTTGGGAAATTTCTAATGTGGACCTAAGTCTGAATATTGATTACAAATTAATGTGGAAGTTTCCTGAAGAATCTTATTGTATTTCGAATTAGGTTTTTTTTTAATATAATTACACGTAAAAGCTTCTTCGTAAGCCAACTGACTCTCAAAGGAGGAGCACATGTCTAAATTTGTAGCCTACAAAGAAGCCTTGCCTTGGAACCACTAATCCCCATCATTGGCTTCGATTAAAGGTAAAACATCAAGGATGATGTGGTATGCTGTGGAAGAAGCGGTGCTAAAAGAGATAAAACAGAGAACTAATGGTAAAAAGGCTTCAGCCTGTAAGTGTATTAGAAAATTAACTATCATCCTCTTCCTCGGGGAAGAAGATATACCAAGCTAACTATCAAGAGGTGTTGACTCTTGCAGAAAATAACAACTAGCAGCAAAAGCAAAAGAGTACTATCACCCTAAAAATGGAAACTACGGTAGTGGAACCTGCAGCATATAACAGAAAGCATAAAACAACTAACAGGATAATTATAGGTAATAAACTATAGGTAAATAAAGGCTTTGATGATTGGTGGCTGTGATGCACCGCATCATTCTTCCCCTCCAACTGAAGAATCATCAGACCCTAATGATGTCATGGCGGTTGGTGCTTCATCCGGTGGGTAGTAGGTGGAAAGATCAGCAACATTAAATGTAAAGAAGTATTGAAATGACGGGGCAAATCCACAATATATGCATTCGGGTTGATTTGTTTAAGGGCAGCAATCGGTCCTATCTTCCTTGGGCTCAACTTGGAATAAGTACCGGGAGCGAATCGTTCCCGTCGCAAACGAACCATCACTAAATCTCCTGGTTTGAATACCCTCTCTCGCCGGTGTGCATCAGCCTTTAATTTGTAGGTGGTATTGGACTCCACAAGCTTAGAACGAACATCCTGTAGCATGGATGAGAACTGGTTTGCAAAGGTGGAGGCAGTTTTGTTCATGCACTTCGGTAATACAGCAATGTCAACCGTATGATTCGGTTGTTTAGTGTACACGACACTAAATGGAGTTTTGCCCGTTGAGCGATTAGGCATGCTGTTGTATGCAAATTCGGCTTGGCCTAGCATGTCATCCCACAGCTTGGGATTCTCTTGGACAAGGCAACGAAGCATGTTGCCGAGAGTCCTATTTACAACCTCCGTCTGTCCGTCGGTTTGAGGATGGTAAGCCGAACTGAGCTTAATTTCTGTGTTTAGACGCTTCCACAATTCCCTCCAAAAATTGCTAATAAATTTCACATCACGGTCCGAGGTAAGGCTCCTGGGGAGCCCGTGAAGACGGACGATTTCGGTAAAGAAGAGGCGTGCAATATTTAAAGCGTCAAAGGTCTTCTTACATGGAACAAAGTGCGCCATCTTCGAAAACCTGTCAACCACAACCATAATAGAGTCATGCCCACGCCGGGTACGAGGCAAACCCATGACAAAATCTAAACTTAAGTCTTCCCATATGGTCTCCGGTATAGGTAGTGGGAGGTACAACCCACTGTTTTGGCTACCTCCTTTGTAGACTTGGCAAACCAGACATCTTTCCACAAATCGCATCACATCTCGTCGCAAGTGTGGCCAGAAAAATCGGGACTGCAGCTGAGTGAAGGTGTTGTTCCGACCTACATGTGCTGCCAAACCACCGCAATGAACCTCCTTGATGAGTTGAGGTCTCCATGAAGAGTCTGGAATGCACAGCTGATTATGCTTGAACAAATAACCATGTCTGATAGAAAATTCCTTGTCCGAAGTATTATGGAGGCATGCTTCCCAGATTTTACCAAAATCCTTATCAGTGGCATATAGTTCTTGCAAACACTCAAGCCCAGTTATTTCAGTTTGTAATTGAGTAAGGAGAATACTTCTCCGACTAAGTGCATCTGCCACTTGGTTTTGAGAGCCCGATTTATGCGTGAGAACAAAAGAAAAGCGTTGCATGAATAAGATCCACCTAGCGTGCATCCGGTTGATGTTCTTCTGATTGTTTATGAACTGTAAAGCTCGATGATCGCTGCACAACACAAATTCTTGATGTAAAAGATATGGCTCCCATTGCTTCAAAGCTCGCACAACAGCGTACAATTCTTGCTCATATACACTCCACTTTTGGCGAGACGGGCTCAACTTTTCACTAAAAAATTCCACCGGCTTATTTTCCTGACTTAAAACCGCCCCTATGCCAATTGCCGAGGCATCAGTGTCCACATGGAAGGGCTTATCAAAGTTGGGAAGGGCAAGCACAGGAGCTGTGGACAAGGCTATTTTAATTTTTTCAAAGCTTTCTTGTTGTTCATTACTCCATTGGAACTGTTTGAGTTTTAAACAATTAGTAATAGGCGCCATGATGGAACTAAAGTTCCGAATGAACCGTCGATAGAAATTGGTGAGACCGTGAAAGCTTCGCACATCAAAGAAGGACTTTGGAGTTGGCCAATCAGTTATAGCTGCAATCTTCCGATGGTCGGCTTGCACCCCTTCAGCTGAAATGACAAAACCAAGAAAATACACCTTGGGTGCTGCAAATTCACACTTGGAAGGATTCAAATACAATTTGTTTTGCCTGAGAGCAGTAAAAATGCTTGTCAAGTGAGCTAAATGATCAACCAAGGAAGTACTATAAACAAGTATATCATCGAAGTAAGCAATGCAAAACTTGTTCAGAAAAGGTTTAAGAACTTCATTCATTAGTCTCATGAATGTCGAAGGAGCGTTGCATAGCCCAAAGGGCATTACTCTCCACTCATATAACCCATGACGAGTCTTGAAAGCTGTCTTCAATTCGTCCCCGGGCCGAATCCGTATTTGGTGATACCCACTACGGAGATCGAGTTTGGAGAATATAGTGGCGCCTGATAATTTCTCTAGTAACTCTTCCACACGGGGAATCGGGAACCGGAATTTGACAGTAATTTTGTTGATTGCACGACTGTCTATACACATTCGCCAACTTCCATCTTTCTTCGGAACGAGGAGTGCCGGCACAGCACATGGGCTAAGACTGGGCTGTATGAGCTTGTTTTCCAATAGTTCCTCAACTAGTTCCTGCAGTACCTGATGCTCCTTCGGACTGAGCCTGTGATGTGGAAGGTTAGAAAGTGTTGATCCATGTATAAGATCAATTTGGTGCTGGAGAGCTCTCAACGGTGGTAGCATTTTTGGCATTGAGTCCGGAATCACGTCATGGAATTGCTTCAGCAATTCGGTGACCATTGGTTCCCCGTTGACCTGGGCATTACAGGGCATTTGCTCAGTAATAATCAAGGCAAATAATAGAGAAGTTTCCTTCCAGGAAGCTAGAAGTGAGCCACCCGAAACTATGGCCATAGCAGCTTTCTTGCCATCCTGTTTGGTCATTTGGTCCCCATCCTGAGACAATAATCTGAGTTTCTTACCCTGCCAGTCCAGAGAATAAGTGTTGGCCCTGCCGTCGTACATTGCACCAACATCGAATTGCCAAGGCCTTCCCAAAATCACATGGCAAACATCCATTTCCAAAACATCACATAACACTTCGCAACTATAATTTTTGCCAATAGAAAATTTAAACCTGCACATTTCGGATACCAAAATATCCATTCCTTTCTTGACCCAACTTATTTTGTAGGGTTGGGGATGTTTTACTGTCTTAAGTTGTAAGGCGAGAACGACGGCACGAGAGACAATGTTTTCTATGCATCCACTGTCGATGAGAAGATTGCATACCTTGTCGTTAATGGTGCACTTGGTCCGGAAGATTGCATGCCTCTGAGAATGAACTGATTTTCTAGGTGCCAACAACAACTTCTCTAGGACACACACAAGTGGTTCGCCTTCATCACCGGCCACCTCTTCGACATCTGTGTGTTGCTCTTCCTCTCCATTGTCCTGTTCATGCTCACCATCCGCATCCAGTAGTTGTAACTATTGTCGGGTAGGACATTCGTTCGACTTGTGGCCTTGTTGAAAGCACCTGAAGCACTTGATAACCTGAGGCCGGGAGTACGGGTTCTCTTTCATGGGAATTTTGGGCTTCTGTAGGAACCTCGGCTCTGCCCCGGCTTGGCGAGGCTATTGGAACGGGTGTTCTCTGGCGGCATTGGTGCCCTGCGGTTCATTGCACTGGCTTGTTTCATTGAATCTTGTCCGGTGTCTGCTAGTTGACTCCTGTGCAAACTGCTCCGGTAGTGGCGAGTCAACTGTATCTCGGACTTAAGCGCGAAGTTCACCGCTTGCGACAAAGACCACACTGAGTTTAATTCCAATTTATCTTGGATAGCTTCTTTCAATCCTCCAATGTAACGGGCTACTAACTGGTTTGTAGTTTCATTCAAATCGTTCCGAGCAGATAGGCGGTAGAACTCCTCAGTGTACTCGCTGACAGAACGATTGCCTTGAGTACAATGCTGGTATTTTAAATACAACATTTGCTCAAAGTCAGTGAGGAGAAAATGAGCTCTCAAGAGTTGTTTCATCCGGTTCCAACTGCGGACTTGTCCACGTCCATCCCGCTGACGAGATTGTAGCAATTGCGACCACCACGCACTAGCTCCTCCCTTGAGCCGGCACGCTACGTATTTGACTTGTTTATTCGGGTCGATCTCCATATAATCGAAGAAATTCTCAACAGCTCGCTCCCAATCTAGATAATCTTCGATGTGAAGCCTTCCATCGAAGAAGGGAATGTCCAGTTTGACTCGAAACTCTCCATGATGTCGATCTTGCCCAGCAGTTCGCCGCTGATTAGGCTCCCTGTAATCTTCTTCCGGGCTTGAAATTCCTTCCGGAACAAAACTCCCAAAATCCTCTTTGGAATCAGAAAATTCCTAAGGTAGCGGAGCTCGCCTTCGTTCGCGATTCATCTGACCCCCATGCCTCGTCGCCGGCGTAATGACAGGTGTAGCTTGTCGCCCATGACGGGGAGCGATCATCCCCATATGTAACCTCTCAACAAGTCGACCCAACGTGGCGGACATTTCGTCCAACCGCTTGACGACGACAGCGTGCGCGACCCAGAGCGCCTCTAGGCTTCGGTCCTCTTCACCCGCCGCACGCTTGCTGCTCTCCGCCATCGTTCCGAGCCGCTGACTCTGATACCAAACTGATGTGGTATGCTGTGGAAGAAGCGGTGCTAAAAGAGATAAAACAGAGAACTGATGGTAAAAAGGCTTCAGCCTGTAAGTGTATTAGAAAATCAACTATCATCCTCTTCCTCGGGGAAGAAGATATACCAAGCTAACTATCAAGAGGTGTTGCCTCTTGCAGAAAATAACAACTAGCAGCAAAAGCAAGAGAGTACTATCACCCTAAAAATGGAAACTACGGTAGTGGAACCTGCAGCATATAACAGAAAGCATAAAACAACTAACAGGATAATTATAGGTAATAAACTATAGGTAAATAAAGGCTTTGATGATGGGTGGCTGTGATGCACCGCATCAAAGGACAGATAGAATGGCGAGAAATAAGAAGCAAAACCTCGGATTCTCGGCTTTGGAGCTGCAGAACAAGCTGCTTGGTGCGAAGGGCTTCAGCCTGCTGCTTCTCGATGTCAGCGAGCGCAGCTCTAGCTCTATCTACGCGGCGGGAGGCCTCTTCCAGCCGCCCAAGAAGCGGCCGGTTTTCTTCCCTCTTCAAAAGCTCATCCACCCGCTCCCCAAGCAGCCCATCGACTGCCTCGTCAGGGCCTAGCGACGACGGCTCCGCTGTCTCCCCACCGGACCTCACGAGAAGGAGATGGAATCTCCGGAAACCAGCCGCCGATGTCGTCCAAGTCCGGCGAGGTATCATCCCGATTCTTCCGGGAAGTGGCCGCGGGTGGGAAAATGAGATTGGATTCATTGCCGGTTTGTTCAGGAACAACGATTCAGAGCCCCTCAAATTACCGCCCAATAAGTGATTTCAGCCTTACGATCCCCTTTTAAAGGCTCCGATTTTTTACTAAATCTGGATGAAGACTTCTAAGATTAATCATATTTGAAGACAAACATTTATAATAATCAAGATTTAGTATGCAATGTACCTAAATGTTTACCAAATAAGTAAGATCCCAAACCAACTAAAACCTATGAAGCCAAAGATTTTATTATACATCCACTAGATTGAATTCTTGGCATTTTTATAACTCATGAATATCATATCATTAGAGAGAGTCGTCTCAAATGATTTGATCACATAAAATGGCAACCTTATGATGGAAAAATTATTAGACTTGGAATGCGTCCAAAGACCAATAAAAATGAGCCACGTCACCTCATTGGTAGGTACCCAACTCGGTACTGTTGAATGCCGCTAGGTACTCAGTGCTTGTGCGGACGGTTCTCCCATCCGCACTTCTCACCTAATAATTTCTCACACGACCCAGTTAGAAAAGTTGAGGCATTAGATTTGACTTATGTTAAAAAAAAAGAGGCTGACCTAAAAAAAATTGGTTAAAAATATTAGAAATGATATTTCTTTATTAAATTTAAAAGAGAATTTGACTTTTAACATGACACAATGGAGAAAAAAGATTCATATAGCCGGCCCAACGTAGTAGGACAAATGCTTGATTTTGTTGTTACTGTTATTGTATGAATATCACATCATTACAACGAACAATAATGAAGCAAACAAGAAGGAAAATGAATCACTTTAAATAAAATAGCTCTGAAGTCACCAAATCATGAAAAAAGAGAGGAAGTCAATGACTGGATACACGAGAAGCAAGTGCCTATATCTCAAAGATTCAAATTATTAAGAACTAAGATAATATAGCAAGAACGTTAATGAGACTGGATAAAATTTTGAATGGCAAAAGAATAATTAAAAAAATATATATATATTTTCTCTTAAACATACCTAATAATAACAAGTGAAACTATTTTATAATCTTTATACGGATCAACTCATCTCCCTGAAAAAAAGTTCTTTTTTTTTTTAATGAACAGCTGAAGAAATAATGAAACATTACAAGCATTTCGTGATGCTCCAAAATTTAGAGAAAAGTTGTACAATTTTGATCCGATCAATTCAGCCATTCTGAATTGCTTCGAGAAGTGTACTTTGTTTGATACAAAACTTCTGCTTAATCAAATAGAGATTTTCATAATTGAAGCACCAATAACATTTTTCCTCATGAAATGATTCTCCAATAACAGAACAATGGCAGTCTCATTCCACAGCTAATTCAATAACTTCAGCATGAATAAAGAGCCAATCAGAACTTCTTGAGTATCACAAAATCTCCATTAGCAAGCTGGAGGCTCTGGCAAAGTGGGAGGAAAAATGAAAGGAAGAAACAATGTTGAATTATTCTCCATGAAGTAATTAGATCTTGTCATGAAGGGTTACTATGAGATCATGAGCATCATCCAGAAGCTTCCAAACATCAAGCTGCCCTGCCATACTATTGCACTCTCTCATGATTTCATCCATGCTGCTGTACCTCTCTATGATCAGTTTCCTCCTCTGCAACACACAAGCAGCAATAGCATAGAGCAAGAGATCATCAGTAGGTGGTGCTCGCAGCCTAATCCTTCCCCATGCCGACCTCCCAATCCCGGCTCGTATCGCCGCCTGGTCTGCCCACATCACCTCCCACAAGCAAACAGTTTGCTCAAATGTGAGCTCTCTTCTGAATAGCACCACCACCATTCTGTATACAAAGAAACAATCCTCAGCCTGGAGCTTCTCGAGGTGACCGTAAAACTGTGCATCTTTTGATCGAATTATCCGCGACACAATTGCAAGTTGCCTCCTTATGCCAACTTCATCGAGCCGGAAGTTGTGACGGGCCTTCCTCATGAAACCCACAAAGCACCAAAAGGCTTCATGATCCTCATCCATCACAGTTAATATTGGAGAGAGGAGATCACTCATACCTTGACAGTAGCCAATCTCAGGGTCATAGACTGCGTATGCTTCGAGCACCGCAACCAGACGAGCAGCATGATAGATCATGCAGGGTTCCAGGTGACTGTAATCCTTTAGCTGAACAGCTTCTGCAGACTGGTTGGCTACCTCTTCCGACACGGCAGCTTGGCTAGGTGAATAGATGACCCATTCAGCATTTGCTCGAATCGCATCGAGTCGAATGATGCGCTGCCATGTTGTGAAATCTTCAACGGTTCGGATTGAAGTATCATGTGCGAGTGAACCACTATTGGTGAGTTTGTGATCAGGTTCTGCAACACCTAGTAATTCCTCGACAGAGGATTCAGAATCAGATGAATCTGTTTCTACTTGAAGAGTATCAACATGATAGATCCCAGTCTTATCTTCTTCATCATCCCCTTCCTCCAAATTGCATGAGGCAGAATCAGGAGTCTTGTCATAAAGTGGTCTGTCTCCATGACACCCTTCCATAAAAAGTGAGAACCTTGAAGTATCATCTTCACAGCTTCTTGGAGACTCAGGCTCCTCATTGCACTGAGGGATCACTTCATTAAAGATTTCATCTATTGTCAACAAAGAATTCCCTTGATAAGAATGATTTGCTAACATGCAGCATCTGAGTCTCAGGTTTTCATATTCTTTCCTGCATGATGAGTTAAAGGTGAGATATTTAGAAAAATATATAAATGCAAGAATGTTATTAGCTTAATTTATTGAATATAAATTGTTAAGGGTGCTATTTGAGGCCATGTAACATTGTATTTAAGTAATACTGTCTGAATAACCTTAAAAATATCATCTCTTGGTAATATTATGTTAGAGAAAAAACAAAAATACAGTTCAAGTACCTTTTTTGCGCTTTAACTGCGATTCTTTCCAGCGCTGAACTGTTCAGATCATAGCTGCATAGCATTAGCAACAAAAATTAGAATCCTGAGATGATTTTTGAAGGCTTTATGACTAAGTTGAAATATATTTTCTATGTGATACATTATGCGAAAGACAAGAATTGCAATTAAGATATTAATATAAGTGATAAACGTTGCTTTACTACCAACAAACTCTTAGTTTACTCAAGTGAAAGTTCAAGATGTCATGAAAGATTAAGCCATAGTAATTGATTACACTTGGAGATCACAAGAACTTGCAAAAGAATAACCAAAGATTTAAATAATGCAAATAGCCAATTATAACAAAGCCTTACTTTTAAAATATAGATCTTCATCTCGAGATCCTTTAATCGCTCTTGAAGGTGGAGGTTAGCGGAAGAGGATCGTAAGCACACTTAGAGATACCACTATTACACAAGTGATGCCAAGAGGACTCGTCGCCAGGGAAGAAGCGGGAGTTGGAGAAACGGGTGGATGGCCGTTGATGGCCCACTCGTAGTCCAAGAATTGATCGTCGAGGATGTCCACGAGATGGGGGAGGATTCGGTTCAAGTAATCTTCAACGGTGTCGTCAAAACCAAACCCGACGTCGAAGAATGGTGATCGAACGACGTGGATGTCTCCGTGGGCGTCGAGTACGAATCCGTGATCAACTTCGGGGTCCGCCATGCATCCTTGACAAGGGTTGGAGGAGCACCCAAAGGAAGAAGAGGGAGAGAGGATGGCAGCTTGGAGTGGGAGGGAGTTGGCTAGGGCTTTGGGAGAAATTAGGTTAGGTTGGGGTGGATGTGGTATGGGCTAAATCTGAAATTATTCTCAGATTTAGATTAACTTGGGAGGGAAGCAATTTGAAATTTGATTTCAAATTGATTGCGATTAATGCCTTGATGGAGAATTAATGTGAGGGAGCCAAGGAAGGGGAGGCCGGCGGTATAGAGAGAGAGGGGAATGTGGTTTAGATTAAAAACTGAAATTAATTTCAGTTTTAGAGAGTTAGGAGGGAAAATATTTGAAATCAAACTTGGATTCCAAATAAGGGTGAGGGTTAATGTGCATTGAATGGGGAGAACCCATCAAGGGCCGGCGTCATCAAGGAAGAGGGAGGGGATTTGGGAGAAAGAGAGGGGGTTTCCAAATAGGTGGTGATGACTAGAAAAGAAAATTTATTAAATCCAATTTGACTTAATTTAAAATTGGATTCAACATAAAAACTTTCCTAATTTGGATCTCCTAATTTGGAAAGAATTTGAAATTTGAAATTCGAATTTCAAATATGATGGCTAGGGGAGAGAGGGGTGGTGGGCGGATGGCGTAAGGCCGGTGGCAAGGTGGCCGGCCGGTGGTGGGAAGGCAACTGGCGGCTTGGGCTCCAAGGGGCGGCGGCAAGCAGGTTGGGGTCAAGTTCTTCAAGCCAAGGAGTTTAGGTTGTCTTCTCTTGAGGTGGAGGAGAAAAGAAAACTAAGGATCACAAACCTCAACACTTCATCCACTAGAACTCACAAAGAGATCCACAATACTATCTCCTCAAGAACTCACAAAGAGATCTTGGGAAATTTCATGAACTCAACAAGAGAAAGAAATTTTCATTCATCAATAATCATCCCCTAACACAATGCATTTATGTCTTTTAGTCTTTGTTTCATTTTGGCCTATTTATAAGACCATCCATAAGGGTAAAACAGTAAAACTGAAAAATAAAATAAACTACTACATAAAATGACTTAAAATATAAACTCCTGATCGTGGCCGTCGATCTCCGGTGTCTCCGATGGTACACGTGTCGAAATCACTGACGATGTCCTCATCATTTTTCTTGTTAATCAAATAACAATAGAACAGCTGCTCGAGCTTCTAATGTTGAAAATAAGTTATGCAATGCACTTCCTTAATTTCACCAGTGGGAGAGGAAAACTGAACAAACAAGAGTTGCAACAAACGGTAAAACGGAAATAACTGCAAAACTACAAATATTTGCACGCTGAAACTACCAAAAATCAAGAGGGTTTGCATGCTTCTTGTCTCTTTGGTAGCTCAGAATGAACTGAGCTGGTTAAAAGTTACAACAGAGTAAAACAAAAACATAAATTACTATCTGATCATCATTAGCCTTAACCAAAGTATTGGGTATTGACTTTATGAATACTTATTCTTCTTTCTTCCGCATTAAGTATTGTATGAAGTATTAACTTATTTTAGCAAATCTTTTTACACAATTGTAAAAATTTCTTTCCAGTTGCCATTCTTTCTAATAACTTGACATTAATTTAAGTACTTTGATCCTATTGATGCATTTAATAAATTTTCTTGTAAGAACCCAAGTGATGTGATTCTATTTTTCATTAACTTATCTTCAATAAATAGCACTCCCACCATCCCTCTAATATAATCATTTCTCAAAATTTCTCAATTTATTCTTTCTAATTGTGACACACATCCATCTTAACATTTTTATTCCTACAATACTGAACGTGATCATGCATTCATCAAAAACATGCTCATTATTGCCAAAAAATACTCAAACCCATGTAAAATAAATTTAACATGGATGGATGCATCAAGGAGATCTGCATTTTTGTAGTCAAGAGAAACATTGATTAAAAAACTGGCCTTATCAAGGCAAATTCACACACATATCACATATGCAACCTTCAAACACAAAACATCTTGATTGATAGCCAAAACTCCCAACCAACAAACTAAGATGAGCTGCATTTTTGCATATCACTTCACCACAACATGTGGGTTATATTCACACTGAAAAGGCTTCAATGACAGTGAGAATTGCATCCAATGTATCATCCTAGTTACATTAGTAATATTAGATCATAAGACTTGCATCCATGAATAAAAATATTAAGCGTGCATATTTCATTACCCCATTATAATCTAGTGTTATGCAAGATCATATGCTAAAAATGACCAAAATGGTCCCTTGACTCTTTATAAAAGATCAAAATAATCTCCAACTATATTAAAAGACTATTTTGATCCCTCGACTCCTTAAACAAGAACCAAAATAATCCCACAATGAGACTAATTTGATTTCTTTTAAAATACTTGAGGGACCAAAATGGTCAATAAACATAGTTGGAGATCATTTTAATTTTTCATAAAGAGACAGTTGATCATTTTAATCTTTTTATTATTTTTTATATTGTTGTTTTTGTCAAATACAGAAGAAATTGTTAAGCTATGTCATTATCTGCTTATCTTCATTCCTTTATTTAAAAATATGATTAATATGATATCTTATTTGTGGGCTCCGAAAATTCGACCCCGGCCTCCGCCCGCTACTGTTTTTTACTTTTCTTCGGCGAGGGAGTTTTAACTAGTTAAGTTCTGGGGTAAATTATGGAAGGCAGATAGGTTTGTAGATAAGACACTACCCAGAGATTTCGCCCTCATTTGGTGAGGACTTTATGATATGAGTTCTGGTTTCCTATAGGCGCAAGCCCCTATAGTTAATTACTCCTCCGAATAATGAGAGAGAACTTTCGATTAAGGCTAGCCGTCAATCATATACGTTATATCCGTAGATATGTAGTATCAGGCGTATAGTAGCAGCATAGGTTTGAATTTGGGCATTTGAAAAGGTTTGAAAATTAAAATAGGAAATTTCACCATCTTTCATTTAAAGCGGATGGTGGGGGAATGGATGATGGACCCGATCAAGATCTCATGGTTCCGTCGTCCCGGGCCATCATGGTCCCTGGTCTACTTAGTCAGAGCAGATAGTCGACCCAACCTGACAGAAGGATCCTTGTCGGCAGCCATGGGCTGCTTCGTCCAAGGGGACCTTGTAGACCTGGGGTGAATATTTGCTTAAGGGGACAAATTTGAATCCACCTTAGATAACAGAGGGCTTTGTGCTCTATCGATCATATCATATTGATTCATATCTCAAGAATTTGATGCCACTACGGAGCGTATTGGCTCTAGCCATAACCGGTATTTCGAGGTACCATTTAGCGGCAAAACCACTCAGTTCAGAGGGCCCCGGGTCATAATCGTTTATCATGCGGTGTCATTTGGAGGCAAAACCGCCGGTTAGAGGACATGTACCACGTCCTTACTGGCATGAGACTGTTTGAGAATGGATCCTAGTGATATTTTCGACTAGGCATTAGCTCTTTGTGAGCTGAAGTAATTTTCATATTTGTCCACCTTGGCAAATTGTTGCGGAGGGTGGATGAATTTTGCTTTAAGTGTTGAATGATTAGATTTCCATTTTAAATATTTGAGATTTGGAATGATTTTTGGAATTATTTGATGTTTGGGTCTTTGAAATGACATTTGAAATATTTGGGAACCCCACCGGTTGAGATTTGCATTCAACACGACAATCATCGGGGTGTTTGGGGTCATTTCCATTTGATTAAACCTTGTCAACCCTATCAACTAGCTGATAGGGGATCGGGTTTCGTAGGGTTTTTGCCTTTGTTAGTGAATTCTCAGTGTTATAAGCCTTGAAGGCCTAATATGAATGTATTAAAACAAATACATTGGTCGCCACAACCGTATATTTGTTTGAAGGTTTGAACCCTATCGACTCTTATTGATCCGTATAGAATGATTGGGTTCGAACTTGAATTCACTTATCGACCCGCGCAACATCCCTAGACGTCACGTGTGTATTTATAACACGCTCTCCGGTGCCCATGCGGGTGTTTGGGGCATTTTTTAATTATTTATTGAACATTGACGACTCCTATTATTTGCTTAGGAGGATTGGGTTCAAATTTGATAACACGCGCATCATCCATAGACGTCACGTGTGTACCAATAACACACTCGTCGGAGCCCATGCATGCGAGTGTTCGATTATATTTACTCCTTTGTGTACCTATGTGTATACAAATTATAGTGCACGTGTGGGGAATTTTGAGACTTTGTTGACGCCTTCTGTCTGCTTGTATGAAGCATGCAGATCCGGTGGCATGGCATAGCAGCTTCTAAATTGAATTGTTTGCTGCTTTGTACAGGTAGACTGTCGTACATTGCTCTCTGCATGT